ACTGGCACCAATCCCACATTTACTGTTACTTCGAATTCACACATTTTAAGGGTGGTTAAACTAGCAACTGCAGTGGAACCAAATCGGAAGGGCACTGGTTTACATCTTATGGACACGGAAGTTATTTGGTGAATTAAAAAATGAAGCATTACACTGTATTACCGACGTGAATTTCAATCTGTGCAAATTAAAGAGGTTTTTTATTAATTCATTTTATAATCAGTTCATTTGGAAGCACAGAAAGGATGTAAAAATAAGTAACACACATACCACCAAAAATAATCAGGTCTAGTATAAAAGCACAGATTTCTCCGGTAATATAAATCCATGATCAATTATTAACACCTTCATAAATAATAATGAAATCAAGAGACTGGCTTATTAATCAACATGGAGTCCGTTTTGAAAGTGAATAAATATGCTAACAGTGACAGGACATAACTCTGTCAATGTTTGCCATAGTGACAGTGAAAATTCCCTCTTACAACTGAAGCAGAAAAGCCTGTAGTTTTATTGAACAGTTGTCAATAAAGTAAAAAAGTGATTTAGAAAGAAAAGAATTTGTTTCTTATTTGGATGAAGACTCCACTGGAATAAAAATTGTGCTTTTTCTGTGGTTGTCATCCTAAATTGATTAATTCCCTGCCACACCTGTCATGGAGTAATTTGCATCAACATCCATCAGCTGTTTTGTGGAGGGCCTGGGCTTCATGAGAAGTGTGCCGTGAGGAAATGAAGCCATGAATACATAAAGCTGATGACTTCTACCAAGAGGAACACACAGGAAATGACATAGGTCTGACTTGAACCAAATCTACAAGTAGTTTAGGGGAAGAAACGTGGACAAGCCACCAACATACTTCAAAAATATCTGCATATACAAAAATAGGACTTTTTGTGCCACACAAAGTATACCCGTTAGATGAAGATAAATCTTTAGTGTAAATATAAGTTACAGAAGACAAAATAAAATGCCTTTGAAGTAGATGACATTTGACAATCCAGTCTTCATGAATTCCCCTTCCTCTAATAATCACTAATTTGTTTATGCCACAATAAATTTAACACAAAGTTCATGACTCATGAAAGCTTGACAAACTTTTCATCTCCAGTTGGGGGCATGATGAACCTGATGCAATCCGTGAGTCATGTTGTTAGAAAAGATGTGAATAATGAAAACACCATGAATGAAATGTGGACAAACAGCCACATCAGAAAAAAAAGTCGAGCTGATTCAATATGTCCTACTCTTTCATAAATCTTTTCAAAGATTTTTAAATGAATAACCTACTCCTGAGCAGTGTTAAATTTGATTTAACAGTGAAACTTTTTGCAGGAGGGAAAATGGCTGGGGACCATTAACTCCATAGACAACTAGGGCAATGTCAAGAAAGATTTTTGTTAGGTGCTTGAAATTCATAACAATGAGACAGTGCAAAGTGTCTACTCCTGTATATTACAACATATCAAAGACCTGTCCTTGAACATAATTGAAGGGGTGAAAATACAAAACAAAAAAATAGAAAAGCCAGGAAGTTTAAGGCACTATTGTAAAAAAACATGAACGTTATTATACATTTAATGGCATGGGTATGGCTGGCTAATGGAATAATAAATTTTTACACAAAGGGAAACAGCCAGATGACTTACACATCTTGCTGGAGAAGTGATGATGACAACTTGAGAATGAACATATGTCTAATAGACGCTTTGCATGGTAGCCATCTTGCAGGGGCAGCCCTTTTGTTCCACAGGGAAACCTCCTTTGTGAATACCCTGTGGAGCAAATGCACTGGCCTGCAAGATGGCAGCCATGTAAACCCTCTACATTCACTTGATGCCAAACAACACTGAATTTTAGTAACTCAGCCCACTAAAATAATGATATTTAAATAATTATCAATTGCAATATCAACTGTGCCTTTCTTATGACATCATTTTGAGCTTAATACTCAAGCTGATCATAAGATGATTTCTCTCTCACACAGAAAGGCCTACCCTCTGCACTCACTGTTATGAAGACTTAACAGAAAGAAAAAGCTAAAGGGGTGAGTGGAATGTTTGTCGGTGTTGGCATTATGGTCTCTTTTCTGTCCCTAGCGGGCCAACTGATCGTCAGTGGGAGACTTTGAGACGGTTGGTGGCGACAAACATACCGGTCCTTTTAACTAGTTCTGAGCATGCACGCGTTGTTCTGAGTACGCATGCATAACAACGCGCGCATACTTCTGAGCACGCACAATACCTTGAAGAAAAGGCATAGTTTGTCTGCTGCCACCAGCATATCAAAGTCTCTCATTGTCCAAATGGTCAACTAGCACTCGACTTTCTCCATGGTCATGAATGCACTTGTTGATAGTCTGAAGGACGGTTTCTAGTCGCCTGTCCATTGCCTGCAGGTGGTCCTCGGTGATGACAGGTGCGATGGGGTCATGTGACATGGCGGAGCGAAGCAGGTCACTCAACCGAGACTGTGCCTGGGTTAGTTCTTTCAAATGAAAGTATGTTGACCTCCGTACTCTACAGATGGGACAAAGACCGCACAGCGCACGATTACCATAGTCAATATTGAAACATGTGTTCGCATGAAGATGGGTGAAAAAGCTGACAGGAAAGATGGATAGACCAAAGGACGGACTGAGTAAAGGACAAACACAGTGATTCAGTAAAGGACTGTGAAAGAAAAAAAACAATGACTGGTGAGATTGCCTTGACCTTTAAACTGAACTCAGCCCCTGCAAGGTTCTCCCTTACTGCCAAATGCAACAATATGCAACAGTGACTCTTGATGCGTTGTGCTGAGCAGTGAATAAACACCAGCCTGTGCACAGTTAAACGATATTGTTGATTCTCCATGTTTTCCCACCAAATCTAACACGTATCGACTGTCGCCAATGTTGTATTTTTTTGCAATTTGCATTGTTTATATGTTTAATTTTTGAGACCCATTTTCAATGCTTACTTGCAGCATTGGTAAACTGGTGCAAGGAATGTGGCATCATCTACGTGTGGGTTGCCAAAACCTTTGCCGTTGTCAAGAAACAGGACACAACCCCGTCTCTTATATCTCCGCATCATGTCAAAGTGATGTCGATCGTAATTTCCTGTTGTATAAAAGAAATTCCGTTGAAAATTAAGATTTAACTTATTCAACATCCATGGCTTTAAGCCAAAAGAAACAAATTTGCAGTCCAAGCTTAAAACCTTCATCCTATTTCTCTCTTGATTTCGTTCAGGCTCTTTTTTAGCAACATTTGAAATTTCCAACTTCAGAGATACACCAACTGGCAACTTTTAATGGCTAATGTCAGAGGAACACTGAGCACATGAAGTCCACCAAGATACTAATGAATCTGCATCACTTAATGGAAATGAACCTGCCAGAGTCATTATAATGTGCTTACTTATCAACTTGTGTGTTCTTGTCAGTGCTTAAAATACCACAGAAAAATGTCTTACGAATAAAGAAGTCAAAAATGCCTTGCTCTATTAGATCTAAGAGAAATCTTCCTCTGGTCCAGACAGGATCCTGCAAAGAGAAGATATCAAGCTGAGAAAACTGAATGGAAGCTACAGATGCCATTTGGACTGTTCAACTCAAACAGAAGTTGAACAAAAATTCAGCTTTAATCTTTTTGGTGTTCCTATTCCTTTTTTTAATGAATAGACAATAGTTGTCAAACACATTTATTAGAAGGACAAAGTTTACTCAAGTCTGAAATGTCTTCTTCTCAATTTACACTAGGCTGGGTTTTTATCTTAAATGTGGAAGCACTCCTTTGTTGTCTGAGAGGCCCTGGTCAATACATGTCTATCATTTCTCTATCTAGTCAGTGCATAAAACTTACCTATCCTATCTTGTTCTCGGTAACAATGCCCCGCACATGCCAAAGTTTAAGGTTTAAACCGTTTAAAGAACAATTTAGAGATAGCAGTCAGATTTCAGGCTTAACTTGACCTGCTTGTACTGGTAGCATGGTACAAAAAAATAATGTGACTGCGAACTCCAAGTAAATTTGCCTTATAAGGTAGGGGAATCACACATACGTACCTTTAGATAGTCTAAGCAGATATTTTTACCCTTCCACCTGCATAATTGCCAAGAGGAACACAAAACAGAGACTTTTTACAAAAACGTTAACGATGCAATTATTAAGTGTACAAAGAATTATAAAGTTTGATAAGAGCCAAGTAATACAACAACTTTCAGTGGCTTCACTTGCAACCTAAAATGTGTGACCAAAAATGATTAAGTTCTTCACAGATACTTTACATGCAAAATATACAAAATGAGGTTTGAAACGGAAGCCGTAAGTTTTTGTGAAATATCTTCGGAATTCCTCCTCTCCCCCTCCAAAAAAAATGAAGAAAACACAAACAAGGAACTGTGCCAGAACTTACACAAGGGATTCTTTCACTCCCTGACTCCAGGGGTATTCCAGTTCAAATACTGGGACGCTCCCCTCAAAGGAAGGCAGGAACTGACAGAGGGACATCTCCATCACATCCCCCTTGCCACAAATAGGATGGTCCTGATTGCAGAACCATGGGGCACACTTCCCGATAAAGCACAAGTTCCCATCTGTCAACAAATCAAGCATGACCAAAACCAACACAACACAAACCTTTAATTCCACACATTTTTTTCACTAAAACAAGTCTGGTTGTACAAATGATTACCCAAAGCATCCACCAAAGTGTCCAGATCGAGAATTACCCTCGATATTGACTAAGATTTTTAGCAGCTTATTCCATGGGTCACTTTCACAGAACTTCAAGACAAGTAACATGCTTAGCACGGAAAGGCTTAGTTTACAAATGACAGGGTACCAACCCAAATATCACAAGACAAACTGCTTGTGACCAGTTCCGGCTGAAATTGCTTAGCAAGAGAATATACTAATCAAGCTTTCTGCCTAGCAACTTAACCAAACTGCGGTGTGATGTTGACTAAGTGCACACTGTCACCAACATTCATTCCCAATTACCTTTCCAGAAGAAGGTGTTGAGTAGTTCTTGGTCCTCTGATTTGAGCAGAACTTCCTGAGTCAGGTTGATTTGTCTACCAACACATGGTGGCACTCGCCTGAAACCAAGAATTCTTCAGAACAAGGAAGAAACAAAACAGTTAACTTTAACTACTGTACCTAGTGTCTTTTACTAGGCATTGGACCAAATCCAACACTTCCCGTACCATCCACATTTCTTGCTGAAAAGCCCACCACTGGCGTGATGGTCTTTGATGATGGACCAAAGACGTACGGCTTACACGATATCATCAGTATTGTTGCCGTGACAATGTGCACTAAAAGCCCCAGCAGTGTTTCAGGTATCCTGGACCAAGTCCACCATCATCCATCAACATTTGGACACCTCAAGCCTTCTGGACCGAAGTCCACCAAAATCCACCAAAGAATGGAAATTGATTTGGATAGATTTGGGGTGGTTAGAGTTAACCCAGGTGAAAGCAAAGCCTCATTCAAATCAACTGGCTGTGGCTGAGAGCAACACACACGTCTATGAGAAGTGACCACAGCTGCTAGTTAGTGGCTTCCATATGAGCTCATATAATTGCTAGCCACATCTGGACAAGGACTAACATTACATCAAGGAGCTGATCAAGGTATGATAAACTGTATAACAAATAAGGGGACAGAGAAAAATGATTGTGATATCCAAAAAATACCTGTCAAGGTGAAAGGCTGCTATCTCAGCATTGTGTCTCTCTTGGTCCAGCCAGAACGGCTCCTCGTTGTCATACTTATAAACAAAATCCCGTGGTGATCTAGGAGGTTAATTAAAACAGTAACATTTTCCTCTTGAAACCCAAATTCAAATAAAAGTATTAAACAGACATGCAAAAAATGTCTAAGATCTAAACGGCTTTCCCATTCTATCACTGCAAAGTGCAGTAATATTACTTTTAACTCCATCCTCATGTGACAGGTGTAACAAGTACAATACAGATAAAGACCTTTCTTTTATGAATACACCCTGATAGTCACTGGTCTACGTAAATTTCAACCATGATTTCTGACAGATTCAGCCTAAGGTGATTATGCTACATGTATACATGTATATACTGCACAGGTCAGTATCCAGACAGGTGCACAATTTTAGAGGCCTGTAAGAGTCAGATGAGAGCTCTGTACAAAGCAGACTCAGCTTCTAGTTTATGCATAGTTTTTGATTGTACTTGTTTCCATTCCAAAATCATTCTTACAGACAGTGATTCAGGGCTAATTTCTCCCAAAGCCATCAAGAATTTTTAAGTCGGGATGGATCGATTTATTCTTGGCAATAATTTGGGAATGTGTGAAACCCCATCTGCCAGTTGGGAATTCTATGAATTTTTCTTTGAATTTTTAAAATTTTGTTGTTAACATGATAGCCACGTGCTGCTTGTTAATCAAGTGGCAAAAACTACAGCTGCGGAACACATGAATAAAATAAGCATCCTTCGGGTTCATCATTAAAGAGCCTGAGGGATAGAAGCATTTATGAACATGTCTGAAAGAATATCTTAGCTGGATGCATGCACTGAATGCCGTCAGTCAAACAATGTGTACAATAGAAAATGCCAGCCATCCCTAAACAGTCAGTGTGTGAGGGTAAGATCAGGTAGACGGCTGAGATCAGGTAGACGGCTGAGATCTCTAAGAAATAGGACTAACGGGTCCACAAATTCCTTTGTGTCTTTCTCAATAAGAACATTTAACAAATATCATTCAAGGATTCTTTCTACTTTGACTATAGTCTAGTTTTTAGGTGGACTGCATTTTATGGGATTCACAGTAGCCCTACAGCTCTCACACTGTTTTGGAATATACTATTACACTGTTTTGTGTAATATAATTGCATAATTAAACTGGTTTTCCTTTAGTTTTTTCACTTTCCGGCTGAAATCATTCATTAGCTGATACTCTTATGATGCTTATTCACCTCTCTAGCATACACAAACGACGGTTCTCAATTACTAGTTGCATGTGTTTTATTTATGAGTTGCTCGTCGACTAAATCAAGTTTTATAGTTTTAATTTTTACATATCTTTCTAATATGTACCGGTATAGAAATATGTGTATATATATTTTTTTTCATAATGTTAAGCGGATAGCGATATATTTTAACCTTCATGTAATGTAGTTGTTATTTGTGTAATTTTTTACATTTATTCCTCTCAACTGTCGATGTATTTTAAGCAACATGAATTCCATGGATTTATGCATACTGTCGCTGAAACTGAAATCTGCAATCAGGACATGATAGAGTGGATCAATGATAGACATCTGGGCTATATATACACATCAGCACATTCTTCCCAATAACTGCCAGTCCAACCTTTTGCTTTAGTGTTATTGACCGGTGGAAACAACTCTTTTCCTTGAACAGATGTGAAATGCAAATCAAAATTACAGAAAAGGATGCGTTTAGCATCCAATCTTTGCCAGCTGACGCCACACAGGTTGCATCAATAGTGACAACGATTTCAGGTGAGAGTTATTTAAACAGTGCATATGTATTTGAAATGACTGCTGATCTAAAATTGCAATGCCCCCCCAAAAAAGCAGTGTCATCTCTGTTAGGGTGGAAATAAGTAAATGGAGAGATTAACGAGTATCAAAGATGCAAGCTCCAATTTATTTTGCTTCGCCTGAAAAATATTTTCAACAATTCTGATTCCACTTTGATATAATTACACTGTAAGGGAGGTCAGCAACACTTTATATTCCAAAGAAATGACATTCCAGGAAACTGATACAATAAAATGAGAATGTCTCAAATGTTTATGTTATGCACTATCCCAGCAAATGGGCCTGACCATTTGGTGCATAAAATATCTTTTTTTTCACGGTGGAGTAGGAATAAAACTATCAGAGGAATTTATAAACAATTAACTATCGAATTTCCGAACTTGGATAGAGAAGTCATGGAAGCAAACACGTTTAGATGCTGGCAGCAAGAGAAAATAGCTGTTGCTCACCTCATGGGCTTCACAATGGCCCGGTTACCGTCGGCCAGTCTGAAGTCCAGCTTGACCTGGCTGCCTCCCTTAAACATGGAGGTGTTGACGATTTTGACTGTAGCAAGGTTGTGCAGCAGTTCATCCATGTAGGGCGTGTCCTTGCTGTACAAGGCATCCTGGCTGATGTCACGGTGAAACTGCTGCCATGGATGGCCCTTCCTGTCATTTCCGAAAGGAAAAGATATAAGGAAACTAAGGCAGTCACAAATAATTGGCAAAAGGGCAGTCTTAATCTGTCTTTCATTGATTTGCTGGATGCACAAATATTTAGCACAGAATTTTTGCACCAGCTTTTAATAAAAATTGTTTTCAAAAATTCAAATGACATTTAATCCAAGCCTTCTTCTTTCAATGATATCGTGGCTACAGAAGTACCATGCCAAAACAGTATTATCCACGATACATTAATTAATCAAACTTCTGCCTTCTTCTGTGTTCTGCTATCAGAACTACAAATTCACTACTCTCTAAAAAAATCAAAATGTAAAGGCTCCAACGTAATTGACAACGGCAATAGACTTTCTAGGGCTGAAGGTCTTCTACTTTTATGCGGGATTTGATGCCCTTTGATGATTGTACATATGCACAAAGCATGAGGCACTGATTTCTTCGATAGGGGAAATGTTGGCAGATTCACAGAGATTTCTGACAGAAGTGCAAAGGATGATGGGGGTTATTTCATCAGTGACACTGCCATTGCCACGTCCACATCGTGATAGTGTGAACCGATCACATCTAGGGAAGCTAAAAATAGCACTGCCGGATGAATCATGCATACATGTACACACAGTGATAGCAGACTGAACTTCCTAGGTGAATGCAAACATGTCTTATAGTATGCTCAACCTAATGCGTGAAAGCTTTTTTGTCCGGTTACCCTGATGTCTGACTTGAATATTTCTCTTTGTGAATCACCTGTGTAGTCACCAAAACTTCATGCTTACATTATGCATGCATGGCCAGTTCTGTATTACACTGTACACAATACTTTTTGTTTGTTTTCTTTTTTTAATGGTGCTTTCAGCAACTCAGGCTATTTGCGCCGATAACTATATGTTTATTCATAACCTCTATTAATCAGCATCACATTACGGAGGTTAGGAAGAAGGTCCAGAAGTTGGGGCAGGAGGAAACTGGAGTACCGGAAAAAAGTTACGAGTACCAAAGTGAGTATGGACCGGAAACCAAATGCACTTAAAGCCTGGGCCAAGCCGGGAGTCGAACCCGGGTATTATTGGTGAAAAGTGAGGAAAGAACTGCGACGCTAATCTGCCCCCCCCCCCCCCCGTACACAATATAATACCCATTCAATGCTATGACGTTCTTCAATGTTACATTCCTGAATCATTTTCAGGGAGAAGTGGAGTTTCATAAACATAATTCCACAATTAAATGATTCGCAGGTAACTTAATTGGCAGCATTGTTAAACACGTTGTCTACTTTAATAACAATTTTGACAGCAAATTTGTGGGTAAAGCCTGTCTCTCAATCCCTGTAATTGTATGTGCGTGCATAATACCTGTTCAGGTCTACACCTAGCAGGTGAAGTTATTAATTTATCAAACAACTATCTGTTATGCTGTATTTGCAAGAATACATTGCGCACAAATTGGGTTATACATGTAGAATGCAATGAACACTAAGGAACGGTGCTACTCATGCCCATTTCTTGCAGATATGTGGGGTTAGTTTTTAAAAACATAAAAAACCAAATAATCAATCCTGCATGTGCCAACAAGGTATGAACACATGTGGCTGTGACGTTCCACGTTCTAGCCCTCTCCTCTGTCTAGAGCGTGCCCAATTCACTAAGCGTGCACATGTGACTTTGCAATGCAGTCTACAACTTTTCAAACACTCTGCCACGTATGACAAACATGACAATCTCCACAGCTGAAACTTTTCAGGGATTGTGTACACACGTACACGCACAGGTGTCCTCTGAATCCCACAGAATGGGTTATCAAACAATGTCATTTTAACAAAATACAATCTTCAAGGGTGGACTTTGTCCGCACACACATGCAGCCACGTACACGCTGAGAAAAATGCCCACTATTTGGATTGCTAAAAAATGCCAAATGTTTTGTTAATGGTATTCTGCCTTCTAATGACCTGTCAGATTGATTGATGTATTAAGTTTGTAAATCCTGGAGAATTTAGGTACTACAACCAATGCCAATAAAAGTTGTATAGTTTTGGACAATCCCTACTCCCTAAATGGAAAAATGGACACCATTATGGTGTTAACCATTTAACTTTGAAGGTATCTAAAAAGTCTCTCTAAATCTTCATGCATAACAAATTGAAATGTCATAGAATTTTGCCAAAATCTGCTGGGCTTCATTTATTAATTTCACATTTCAATGCAATTATTACGAACATTTTGTAAATGTATGAATAGGTTACACAAAGCAAGAGTCAAGTTCATTGAACTTTTTTAATCATTAAAAAAGAATTTAACTGAAGAAAATTAAAAATTGAAAACGGCTTATTCAAAATGCTTTACTTGGAACAATTTCTAACCCTTAGCTAAATTATTATAGTGGCTTAGTTAACAATACCTACATACACCTTCATATGAATTCATGAAGATGCCAATGTAATATAGAAATATAGAAAAGGTTTGTTTACAATACATTGTTGATGTAGAACTTAGAAGATTTCAAGTTAAAACATTGACCTACTGTTCATGTATTTACTTCATTTTTTTTACTGAAGTAAACAAGTCAATACATGCGAATGATGTGAGTACAATTACACCATACACTCAGCTCCCCACTCAGCGACAATGCCAAAAATGTCTGAACATGCCAGCACTAACCCAACAACTTCTTGGTCGTCCCATGCACTCTTGATCTCGGACCCCCGCTCCCATGCGGGCCGCTTCTGTTTACTCCCCTTCCCGTCTCGGTTTCCAGGTCGAGGCAGAGGAGGTTTGTGAATTTGGGACTCACTGCCTTGACTGCCTCCCGAATCATCCTGGTAATGCCCGGGTTTGGGGACTCTCTGAGTCTGTTTATTCCGAGGTTTGACGCGGTGGTCTGGACCAATTCTGACCTGGTGGTCATCTCCATCTTCGGGTGCCTCAAATTGACGCAGCAAGTGGATGACTGACAGTGTCGTGAAAAACAGCAGCACAAGAACCGACACAATTACTCTCTTTATAAAGCGCATAGCGAACACGGAATTACGCGCCCTTTTTGCTCTGGTGCTACTAAGAACATTGTCGACTTATCAAGGATACCCTGTTGGTCAGTTACATTTTTTGTGAAACAAAATGAGCGAAAATAATCTCCGTCCCTCCACATATCAATCCAACACACCATACCACAACTCCAACTCCCGAAGGCTATATCGTACCCGATACCGGCCGGCCAAGCGCTACTCAGCTGTAGAGGGCGCCTTTTACACTTCGCAACGCGACAATATAGGGAGCGAGGAATTTTCTCTTTGTGATCAAGTTCACACAATTCAGTCTTCATTTTTACAGAATCGTTTTAGCCATTTCTCTTTTCTGTAAAATGTAAGTCCCCCAAAATATATTCTGTGTAGCACCTGGTTATCTAATATTATAGTGGCCATATTTGCTGCTTCAGTTTTTTAACGCTATCAAGTTTTCAGAAGGCATCTTGAAAATGCACGGAACTATTCCAACAGGTGTAAAGCCTCGTTACTCAAGAGAAAAGATATAGGAAAAATCACACATTTGGAATATTGTTTGGAAGTTCCTGAGCTTAATCGGTTGATAAAAATCACCCTAATAGTTTGTGTGAACCCTTGCCAAACTATTTTCCGTCCACAGACGAGTACAAAAACATCCCCTCCCCTGCATTTAAGGATTCGGGCATCGGGAGAGAAAAACCACACAAGAAAATTCTCTCACAAATGAAACAAAAGCTGAAATCAAATTTCAAACAAATTCTGTTATCTTTCTCAACTCATATGAACACATATTTAAAAATCATCAAATGAAAACTGCAACACCAAGAATTCAAAACCAAAATACTACTAGAAATGGCAAACGTAAATTTTCCAATGTGAATTCAGCAATGAGGTACAAATGTATTCATTTTCACCTACTTTGTGTATAAGCATAGCTGTGTCTACCATGTTCAGATATGTGTACACATTTTGTTCAAGTAATAATAAAGTATATTTTTTAGACTGAAAAATAAGTATTCATTTCTGGCATTCAACAGATTTCTAAAACTATGCTTTCATGGGGCCAAAAACAGTCTCTCTAAAACATTAGTTTAATGAACCAACAGAATACTACATTTATTGACAAATTTATTAATTCCAAATGAAGGAAGTTCCTGTGGTTTCTTTGTGTTTAAGTCAGCACATTCAATCTTGTCACAGTTCATGCACTCATTCTACGTGTATTGGGTTTACAGAGTCACTCTGGAGTTTGTCTACCCCAACACCATTGACAAAGCAAGTATCATGTGTATGCAGACGCTATGCAAATCTCCCAAGCTCTGCTGACGGAACTAACGTTAGGTTCAGGGATGATGAGGTGATGTCCATGGCTAGGCGACTAAAGATTGAAGCACGGGGGAGAGATTACGAAGCAGGCGCAGAGGTCTCCTTGGTGGCAGCTGCTGCTAGCGCCTTCTTGGCCTTCATCCTTCGCCGGACATACCAGATGGAGAAGAATGTAATGCCATATACAGCAACGACACACTGTCAAAACAACAACAAGAACATCAACATTAACACTACGTGTTAGTGTTTGCAGACTGTTAAGTTTAACTCATGGACATCAAAAGGTTGCATGGGTCATCTATGTGAAACAGTGTGTTTTGAAAAAGAATGGTCTTTGTGTAACATAAGTGATAACCAAAGTTTGGCTTTGCTTGTTTGACAGGAAGACAACTTACATTTCTTTTTCCAAAGACTGTGTCTGAATTGAAGTATTTCTTAAAGCCTGTATAGTGGGCAAACTGGGATTCGTCAACAAATCCACCTGCCATGATGCTGTGTTACAAGGAAGAAAAAACAAATTAACAATTTAAAACAAACAAAATTAGCATTCCTCCTTTTTCGAGTACGTAAGGAAAACTGACAAAAGTAGAAATTGACCTTACAGACCCAAAATATTCTATCACTTTCAGTGGTTTGATATCCCAAACTTGTAAAGAACATTAACTGAAAACAGAAAAATGCAAAGAACAGATGAAACATGAGAGACATGACCATTTTTTAACTGCACCTTTGACAGGCTTGAGTAGTGCACGGTGCAGCAACTGGAATGGCTGAGGGTAGACGATCGGTGTTAATTAATTAAGTAATAGCCTAAGTGAACATGGTGAACAGCGCTAGCGTATCGCCATGATCGGCTGAGTCAATTGCCGGCACAGGCCCTACTTACTAATCATGAATTACTAAGGCGATACGTTACTGAAGTTAATTTTAGACAGTACAAGGAATAATGAAGGTCGAGGTATAAAGGATTCAATCCAACCGATACTTTCCAGATCGTTAAAAGGCAGGTTTTCTTACCTAAAATCTCTGGGACCTCGAGTCGTTAGTACCAAGTCTCCTCTCACTGCACTGCACTGCACTATAGCATAGGTCTGGGATTTTGCCGTCTTCGATATCAGTTTTACATAGAAGCGAATTTTTTTTTATGACACCAGACTGCTATAATGGGTACCCGGCAAAGCTTACTTAAACGTAGTAGGAATAATCGAGGAACCACTGCATTCCGCAGGTGCCGTTAATTTTCTACGGAGGCCTTTATTAGGACAAATGCCGCGCCGGCGCCTACGCCGCCTAAAACTTCTTGAAATGCCGAAAAACTAAGTCATTTTGTTCAGCAAAAGTAGCACTTCCAAATAAATTTATGCATGCACAGAAGAGGGGAAATTCAGCCAGTGGTGCATCCAGCCTTTGATGTGGGGGGGGATCAAAAGCAATTGCACCTTTTGGCTCATTCAACATAATAATAGGGAGAAAAATATAGCCCATTTTTTTCAATAAATAAATTAACTTATTAGTTTCTTTCCTACTCCCGTATGAAGTAATCTCAGATGCCCCCTCCCCGCTCCCCCGCCCGCTAGGTACGCGGGGGGATTTTAGCTGTTACTAATATTTCAGCGGCATTGTGAATAGTTCTAAGGCAGAAACTCAGATTGTATTTTGTAGAAAAACTGAACAACTGTTGTTAAGTCTTATAAGACAACTCACCTTTTTTATCAAAACTTTCAACGTTTCATACGTCGAAAGAAAAATCCTCTCCGCAATAAACTGCAAGGACGCCCCCTATGTATGAACACTCGAGCCGGCGCGGCGCCGCGGGAGGTTTGCACACAAAACCGCGCCCGTTCGTTGACACCAATGGTTACCAGGGCCGTAACCATGGGACGCTGACCCATTGTGCACCCGCTCAATGCACGAGGTATGCCGCATTTGTGTGTCCCATTGGTGGCCCAGTTTCCCCACATATCAAAGTCACTGTTGTGATTATTCCGACGGGCAGTTGTCACACAGCAATGTCCACAAACCTGCCCGTTTTATGCCCAAAACAGTGGTAGTTTTCAGAAGTTTAGAAATAGTTTTGGGGGTCACAATGTAAACTTATCGAACTTAGGCCACTGACGCCGAGAGCAACTCAGAGAACGTTACTCGTTAGACTAACAAGCCTAACCTAAATCAAGTTGAACACTTTAGGATGGCGACAATGGCAGAAGTTCAGCTGATAGAAGGTGAGTGTCACCACAACTTTCTATTTTTTGTACAGCACATGTTCTCCAGATATCAACTTTTCAACAAGATAGAAAGGTCTAAAATTGATGAATTAACATGAGGCAAGATGGATCGAAACCTTAACTAGGCCTAGGCCCTAACTGTAAAATTTTGTTGACCCCATTATCAAAATTCAATTTCCCTTAGGCCTACTTGCAGTTTAACTTATAAAAAACCTCACAAATAATGGATACATAATAGGCCTCGGCCTATTTTGATTTTTACAATTAGTTCAACCATGTCACTATAGCATTACTAATTGACATTAAATTAAAGAAAATGAAATTTAGCCTTGTATTTTGTAGGCCGCTAATAGTAACACTACTAGGCCTACTTACGGTAGGTCTAATACTAGGCCTATTACTTAATATAAAAGCAATGTTGCTGGCAGTATTTGTATGGGGGGATATCTGTATTATTTGGAAATGAAGTTTAAGAGAAAAAAACTCTGCCATTTGAAATTGTCTGGATAGGCCCCTATAACTTTTTCCACACTCAGTTGGCTAGGCCTTTTCACCCCTTTTCTGTCTTGTTTCTGTCAACATGATATCAGGTTTGGCTGATTAAACTGTTGAAAAGTAAACTTGATACTTAGTTATCTGAGGTTGAAGCTAACGAGTATGTTTTTTTTCACAAGGAATATACAGGAGGGCTAGAAAACGCTATTTTGGAAAAGCTTAAGTGAGCCTTTGCAGGGCTGCCTTTGCAGGGCTCAAGCCTTTGATCTACTGCAAATGGGATTTTTGGGGCTTTGCTCCGCATGACTGTGCCATATTTGAAGAGTTCGGAAAACCATTTCTTTAGTCATCCCCTTCAGTGAAATTGGACCGATTTCCATTCCAAATATCACATTTCCAAGGTGCCATTACTTCACTATGCAAGGTGTATTTTGATTCAGTCTTACAAGTGGGCCAGGCAAATGCAGGAGGGATTTGAGTTAACAAAACAACTGGCTACACAGTACCAAGGGAACCAATCAGACAGTCCTTGAATAGTGTCACATTGATGCTGGCCTCCAGGAGAAATTCCAAAAGCCTCATATGTTCACTGAAGTACTTCATACATACATGTACGGGAAAATACTATCCATACTGCTTCAATATCTTCTTTTTTCTTCCCTCTATTTGGGTCTGGAATAAGTATCAGCTCGTTAAGCTGCTTAGAGGAGATTATTTTCACTCCTTGGATTAAAAACCTCCTCTTCCAGATGATCTGTCCTGATCCCCCATCTATTCAACAATTCCTGCTCTGTATTCATGACGCTATCCTGCTTGGACCGTAGATCATAACCGTATAAGATTGACAATGGTCTGTTGGCAGACTAGCGGCTTCGCTTCGGTGACTATTGGTTATGTTGGTGAGCGCATCACCTGTGTTGAGGGGGGGTTTTGTTACAGATTTCTGAGAGGGCTTTGTGGGCTGTTATTGACAAAACATCGCTGAATGGGGAGAGCTGAGAATGACGACTCCACCTCACACAGAGGTGCGGAATAATGCGGCACCAAAATCTATGCAGATTGGTTGTTGGTGGTTCCTGCACACAAATGCTTCTAATGAGAGATACGTCATCAGTGTTACTTGCATTTCCATGAAATGATGAGCGAACTAGAAGTGATTTGCATCCTTGTGCAATGAAAATAGAGATCATGCATACTTTATAATGACTTCAGTAAATTAAAAGTGATGAATTAGTCTTTGTGAATTTCTTGAAATTTATGTTTTAAGAACTTTTCATTTATTTGCCTGTATCCCCATATTCCCCCAATGCAAAAGAAAACTTTGTACAATAAGCAACTGCTTGCTTACTTGTTATGTACAGTGATTTATCAATAAAAACTTTAGAAAAAAAGAAGAAAATACCAAGCAATCATTCCAAGCGAACCTTGTTCACATTTTACTGAATTAATGGCTTTTAGAGAAGAGATTTACGTCAGCTTGATCTCATATTAACCACTGAACTAGTTGTACCCTAAACGATGTGTTAATCTAAGAAGTAACCTAATCTGTCATTGTCAAAAGACAAGTGCACCGTATTGACAGGCAGACGTGGAACTCAGAGTGTACCCAAATACATCATCTGCAGTGTGAAAAGAAAATTTCTGGCCATACAAAATTATTCAATTTTATTATATTGATTTCAACATTTCAATGTTTGAAGACTAAGAAAAGCATTCTTTTACAGATGTGAAGTTTTTTAACTGAAGTCAGTATATCTCTTTGTTTAACTGAGCAACTGATAATCATTTTTATTTCAGTTCTATATTTTGCTCATTACTTATCTACTCAACTTGAGCTTTGATGGACTCTCCAAATTCGTACACATTTGCGGGGATCACTTCAAAGGGAGATAAAATTGGGCATCAAACTGTTTCAGGTTTTACGTATCGTGCCCTAAGGCTGAGCAGTGGGGGCCTGCACCGCCTTTGTTCAACACCCTGAATTGATTGTGTTCTCTATCTCTTGATTACACAATATTTCTTTCTTTGTCCCTTAGTTGGATGTAGAACACATGACAGTGACGGCATCGTCGTCATTGGCTGTGTTGTCAAAATGATCTTTTATGTCATGCCTAGCAACCAATGATGGCTTAGTACAATGTTGGTTCACCTTTGTACATAATAGCAAGCAAGATTAACAGACAAACCTGCAAGTTTAATGTACCAAATAGAAATTTACATCAATCCAGTCTAAATTGTTTACTAAGACAATCTTGACTAAACACAACGAAACATAAGTCATGCCCACAGCATTATTGTGTACATGTACGCTAAAGACACTCAAATCACATTTGGGCAGCAAAATTTGAAGTTTGCAGAGAAATAATGCAGTAAATGTGAATAAAAACAGTTTGGATGGGATGAGAAAAGATCCTTTTGAAATGTATTGGAGTTGATGATTCATAGAACCTTTTGGCACATGCTGACTGGGAACTGAAAGTAAGATAAGCTACAGCTAAATGAACTTGGGACTAATTTAGTGTTGAGTTACTGGCATATTCATTTCTATCTGAGGGATTGAACAATTCCCTTTCCCTGGTCTTACTAATAGGCCCCTTTACCTTTTCCTGATGTAGAGTTTAACTTTTTTGAGGTGCTGCAGATGTTAAAGAGATACAGTGGAGTAGATTAAGGTGTTTGCATATTGGCTGAGACCAACCAGCAGCTGCCCATGATCACTGGAGAAGATTATTTGTGTAGAGAGCCAGAGAATTTAAGTCAACAAACTATCTCTCTTTATAGAGGGCAAATATTGAAAGTTAGATTACATAGAACTGGCATGGCCATTTGCAAATAACTGGTCGCTAACAAGGTTGTAAAAGGGACCAATCCACTTGATGCTTCTATTATTTAATAGAGGGCGGGCTTCAGATGGGCAAAAGCTTTGCTGCTCGGCTTTGTTTGTTCCTTCATTGTAGGGGAAATTTTCATGGTTTGTACAGATTCCATCAGTTATGCAATGAATTAACTGCTCTTACTACTTTTGAGAAATAGGGATCCCTTCTGCTAAAAATTTCATTGAGAATAAAAAAAAACAAACCACAATAATTCAGGAGCAAAGCATTGAACTGTAAAAAAGGCAACTTTCTGTCAGAGAGAGAAAAAAAGATGCGAGCACCACCTCATAAAGAAAAAGTAACTAAATAAACGAAAGATTTAGGAAACTAAACCTGAGTTTCTAAATTTAAGTATGATTTTTTTCTGTGACATATGCACAGCAATCAACCCCAGTATCAACAGTGGATGATAATCTTGCAATGTAACTTATGTCCTGAGTAACCTAAGACTTTCTGTCACATGTTCCGTACTAGTACCATTTTGTTGCTAAGAGGACTGTTTGTACAGTGAATAATTAACACAAGGTACATGTAGATCTATTATTTAAGGACCAGGCTCGTTGAATTCACTAGCTTCCTTTATGTATTCATGTAGTGTATATGCTGTTTATCCATTAAAGTCTTGATGTTTGAGTTGCAACCCCAAAGTGTCACATATTTTGTTTTTCAAAGTAATGCTTTGACCAGACAGAAGTGGATCAATTAAGGAGAATAATTCACATATATTTACACTGACTGACAGCAGATCTTGGATAAAGATTGAAAAGTTTGCAGAGTTTGCTCAATATCCTCCTGGATGTTTGTAGAGCCAAGCGTTTCAATAACCCATTATTAATGACAGGCACGGACTTCACAACACTGCCTTCCCTCCAATCAATAATTTCCTTTCATGGAGCCTATGTAACATTGATGAAACAATACAGTGGAGAAGAGGAGAATAGAAATGGTACATTGTGCCATTACGCCCCCGGGCTCTGCATTATTGACTCTTTGGCCAGCACTAGGCAACAGGACATTTTTTCCTGCACGACACAGCAGAGTAAAAAATTGGCCCTCAACACTTGCAGTTCTGGAATACATATGGATTGATGCTCTTCCTCCTTGAAATTGGAAGGAGGAGCATGTGTAGAGGTGGTTTATTGCAGACATCCTGGTGATTGAAGTTAACGTGGCTCTTCGTCTCAGCAGATGGGGGGAAAAATGGTCCTGGATGTGTATTGATTGTTATATCACTACAAGAAGATTAGACGCCGCATAAGTAAAGTGAATGCAGCTTTTGGTGTAAGATGACGCTGCGTTCTGGTGGTGCTGTGGCCCTTGCAATGGCCAGTGAACATTACAAGCCCAAGCGGAGAAAGAGAAAGAACAAATCGCCATCATCGACATCATCTTCATCTCCGACATCTCCGACTCGTCTCAAGCTGCCAAAGATTAAGGGTGCAACTCCGGCTTCAACCAAACAAGCCAAAGGTTTTTGTATTTTAGTGCACTTTGTGCCTGAGGTTCCTCTTGCAAGAGTTTTTGTTTTGGAATTGCCTTGGCTCTGAATAGATTTTCAGTTGAGGATAGCCCTTTCCGAGATGTTTATTTTGTTCCAGGTCTCTTTTGAACAGGATGTTTTGAAACTTTCTGGACATAGAGTTAGGTTAGAGTTCTACAGAATGGCTTTCAAGTGTGAACGAAGGGTTTGATGGAAAGGCTTCCCAAGTAAAATTTTGATCAGACATAGCCGTGACTGCTGGGGCGAATTGTTGGACAGTTTTGCGTGGGGTCCATCACAATCAGACATGGCCAGTCAGCCTGAACTGTGACACACTAATATTCTTTGTCTTTTTCTTTGTTTTTAAAGACACATCAGGGAACCCATATCAAGACCTAAGAGGAAGGTAAATTAACAAGACTTTCTTGTCAATACCTTTACTTGAGTTTAATCAGAGTTCTGGGGCACAGTAGACATTAAATGGGGTAACATGATTGATGGAAAATCTTGGAGATAAGAACAAAAAGTGCATATCATAAAAGTAGTGTTGATTTTGGTTTTTCATTTCAGAGAGCGGTGTGTCTACTTAGCAACTCCCAAAACATCCAAGGCAGTATGGCTGACAAGTTTAGGGTAAGTATGGCACACAGAGAAAACTTACGAACGCCAAATGTTCAACTTGCAGTAAATCACACTAAACATTGAAGCAGAACACCCCACAAAATTGTTAAAGACAACTTGTATTACCTAAAGATAATTTCTTCCCATGAAGGGACATTCAAATCAAGATATGAAAATTTTTGGACAATATCTACATAGATACATAAAGAAGTTTTCATGTTATGAAAGACATCTTGAGAAGATTCCTTCGGCTTTTCATTTATTTTGCACTAAGAAAATTTTAGTTGCACTCAGCAACATACTTTACAACTACAACATCTTTTTGCCAATCAGGCCAAAGTTGGTCTGGGGGAATCAGGAAACTATTCTGCCCATCAGCAAGGCCGCAATGCAAGCTGAGCCTTCACCACGAGTCCATCAGCTCGCGGTACCAAAGAAAAACTTCCGCAGTCTCAGTGATGGAATCAAGTGAGTAATCACCACAACCTGTTACTGGACACAAGGTATTGGGTTAGGATACTGGTTGGGCTTGGTTGGTGGGTTAATTTATCTGTTCACAGCTGTACACTTGTTCAACATCCACCACCTGAGCTTCAAAACAATAAACACCTGTACCGCTGCATGATAAAAGTTGTGCCCAGCATTTGTAGCTCTGGGTGACAGGGTCAGTGTGTAAGTCAGCATGTCACACTTTTGCTTCCGAAAACATCAATGAATGATGAATTGTGACTTGGCATTTTTTCAGCCTTCAGTAACACCTCGTAAATTTTCCAGTCAGTTTGACAGTGTCAGCTCTTGACTACTGGAAACTGACATCACGTCAAATTTGCTTACTTTTAGCACTTTCATCTTGTTTTTTGTGGGAGGAGGTAAAGAAATTCAGGAGCGCTTGAAGTGCACGTGGAGTTGCTGTCCTGCCGACAATTGTCTTGTTTGACCATCAGTTTGGTACCTTACTTTGATTTCACTGTGATTTCCCCCAGACGGATCCATGTTTACAGCTGCGGTCGTAACTCAGTGATATGGGACGTCAGCCCCTTGGCAATGCAGGCTGAAGCCACCCCAAGAGTCATGGAGCTGTCTAGATTCAAGATGCCCCCACCAGCATACCGAGAGGACAGGTAACATGGGAGCTGAAATTTTAGCGTTAATTACATCTCTTGATAACCATCAGGAGAGATCTCAATGGTTCTGCATCATTTATGGCAAACATTTCAGTCAGTGCAGTGAATATGCATTGTGCGATCCTTTTAAGCATTCATACCTGACCTGCTATCTCTCAACAGGATAAATCATGCACTAAGCTGTGGCCGAGAGTCTCCCATTTGGCAAGTGAGCGCGGCGGCCAAACGGGCTAGAGATAAGCACAGCCTAGAAGCATTGGCCAGGCCAAAGACACCTCACAGAGACTACCAACCACCCAGAGAGGTAAAAAAAAAGCAATCTCAGGCAAATTGTCATCAACTGTCTTGATCTTCACGGATGATCTCACGGAAACTGTGTATTGGTTTTTGAGTATTACCATTTGAAACAAAAATCAAAGTAGGACAGGTCAAAGGTAAACTTAGATCAGCTGTGGGTAGTTCAGTAATGTACACTGTATTCAGATTTTTCAACATAAATCTAAAGTCCTAAAAATCAGACACCTAGACTTGGATGCTTTTCAGGAATTCTCTCAAGGAGCGAAATAGGTATCAATACTAGCATTCTATTCTTATTGCTGACAGGTTGAAACTGTTGTCAGTGACAATGCAAAGAAGGCCGTTGCCTCACCAAGACTTGAAAGTTTAGCCAGACCCAAGAGCAGACCAGATGGACCTTTCAGGGATGCCAAGTGGCCAGTAAGTATTCCTTTGCAGGCATAACAAGCTTGTAATTTACAACAAACAACTTGGGTGCTCCAAGAGGTGTTCCAAGTTCAAGATGAATATATGTACTAATTGTTGTGCAATCTTTGGAGCATTGTTTTCAGAAATGAAGGAATTTCCAGGGTAAATTTTCCAGTTTAGCTGTGGTTTTGAGGTGGTTCAAATATTGTGTCTGTTAAGAAAATCTTTTGGATGCAGTTTGACAAGTGTATGTGTTTGTCTCTTTGACTTCTGTCAACTTTTCACAGGTGTCTGATTTGGCTCGCAACGCAACGGCTACACCACGCCAGCTTGAGCTGGCCAAGCCTAAGGGGCTGGTGGATGGCTATCAGCCCGAACGCACCGTCCAGTGGGAGGTCACTCGGGCGGCGCGCCGCACTGTGGCCACCGCCCGTACGGTTGATCTCTCCCGGCCCATCATGCGCGCCACCATGGACCACGTGCAATTCAACCCCGACGCGTTCATTGTGAGTGAGGCGGCCAAGAAGGGCCGCTGTCCGCCCCGCATCGAGGAACTGGCCCAACCCATCACCAGAAGCTAAAGGCGTGGCATAACATATTTATGCAATACCTTAATTCAATGGATGTCACTGCTGCCAGCAGCATTACCAAATGGAATGTAGTTTGCAAATTTGCTCTCTCAAAATCAGGAATAAGAATCATGTGTGAATTTGCAGAAAATGTCGGTTCAAATCTGTTGTATGATTAACAAAGTAGTTCCTGGATGATACTGTAAAAGTGTTGAACACTTAATATGGAATAAAAAATAATGTCAAATATTTTCCTACATGACAAAAGAATGTCAATAATCCAGAAAGGAACAAAATTCTCAGGATTCGAAGTGGTGTGCTTTCAAACCTCATTTTTAAAGTGAAGAAAAAAAATTAATCGAGTTTCGCGGGGGGGGGTCAACAAAGGCTTATTTTACCAGCATTTCTGTTTCTATCTTGTGCATCAAAACTGAACGGAGTCTCCATCTCTTTACAAAATTCTGTCTGAGAGCACAATTATGCCAAAGATTATACATGTATTCCCCAAACTTAGTCATTATACCTTTTTCTCTTTTTACTCCAATGTATTGAAGATAGGAAATCTCAGTTTAGTTGTCAGCACCAAAAAAACTGAGAACTGTTGAATATCATTTGCATCAAATTACATGTATCCGTCCCACAATGACCGTTTTTATATTTGTTGCTTATAAAAATGCCATGTTCTCCAACATACATTTTTGAAACTGTGCATTTACATGAACTTTTTTGAAATAATTGCATGTAAAACAACTATTTTCTGCTTGTAAAATTAATGGTTTGGTGGACATGTGTGCTGTACACCGTTCTGTGCAACAAAACTAGTTGTCTGTGCACTGTTAAGTTGGTTTACTTTTTACGCAAGTTTAGCAAAAATTGTTTTCTCTTAAACAAAATGAAATAATGCTGTCCTACAATAGCAACCTTCGCATTTTAAACACTACCGTCCACAGTCCAGAACAAAACAAAAATTAAAAATTATATTTTTGTGGTGTGAGCCATTAAAAAATATCTGAACACACATTGAACATTATACTTTAATGTCCACTACATTTATTAATCGTGATTATTTCTACATTTTATTATTATCTGCCTTGTAAGGAATATTTGCTATCACTTTGTAGGTGTAAAATAACACTGACAATTACCAATACTTTTGAATGAAAGTTTTTTTTTTACCTCACTGTATGAATTAACACTTAAACAGCTTAATATTCATCCTGCTCATTGTGATTGGTTGATGTCTGATTGGCGTTAACCAATCACAAGTGATCCTCTGCAGAGAATGGCCAGAAGTAAAGTAAGAGTGGCCAATCTACACTGTAGTTACAGGCTCAGCAATGTGTTCCATGCACAAATATTCTCAGCACTTTTGTACATACTTTGCATTGCCACATTAATACTATTACTCCTTGTTATAATCCAATGACATTGTATTAGCCATTGTATGTTTTGAACTCACTGCAATAAATATTTCTGTAAACTGGTCCAATGATATGAACGCTACATGTAGCTGTCTTCCTTTTACAGAGAATCTTCATCGTGATTTACATTCCATGTTGTACAATCACGTTGTTGATTTGTGGTGTAGTGATCTACAGTGCATACTATACATTGCATACTGTTCTTAAAAATTGCTAATCCATTTTACATGCAGACATATGTGCCTAAACACAATGTGAAACCTTGCACTCGAAAAGAAAATGTGGGTTGATGTACAGATATGATAATGCAGAATTAGAAACTCAAATTCAACATGGGAATATTGTAGTGGACGTTGTGTCAAAAATAATTTTCAGATTTTGGTTTTATAAATAGAATGAAAAAAACCTGAAAATCTAGAAATATCCAGTCCATGCATTTTCCAAATACCCATCAATGAAGAACCATTTTTGAGGAGTACACTGTGAATACAAAATACACAGATCATCCAAAATGAAGCTGCAAATCACCTGGTATCCGTACATCTGTTTGTGCTGTCTTCACCTGTCATCTTGCCCTGGATGTACGGGTTATACTGCTCTGGTATGCTCTTGAACAGGTTGATCTTCCTTCGGATCTGTTTGGGAGTGTCCTGGTAGTAGTTCTTGGGATCTCTCGCCATGGCCTGTCCACAAAATGTTAGGACTATCAGTTTACAAAGAACACTACTGAATCTACCAAAGTCTGAGGCCTTGTCTGCTCTAGCCTGAAAGAAGACACGTACCAATGGAAGCCAATGGCTAGTGGCTGTGGCTACTTCCCGTTGATGCGTGTGTAAATACCAGCCGCAGCAAGTTGATTCAGACAAAGCTTATAATTTTTGTTCTTAGTACCCAACAAACTGAGGCACCAAGCCTCATAATGATGGTCACTGTAGGTATGAAGAGGGTCTAGTAAGGTGTCAAAACACAGTCATAGCCCCCTCCTCAATGACTATTACCTATTACTTTACCATTCCAGACGGATCTCCAAACTCTCATGGGTGCATTCATGGTCACGTGCCAGCTGCTATTTTTGTTTTGCTGTCTGCCAAGCGCACACGCGATCGTTCACGCAAGGAGTGAATACTGCTCATCCGAGCGACAGTTAAAAATACATGCGAAGTAGCAGAAAATTCAGGAACTGTCACCCGGGTGTACTGTGCACTTGTGGTGGCGCCAGCCTAGCAATGGTATGCACGCATTCTTGTGTGTAAATTAAATGTAAATTATACGTTTATATATATAATCAATGTTTGAGTTTCAACCTTAGGAACAAAATAAAAAGTTTGTGGAAACAAATTAATGATGATGTTTTTATTTTCAGAGGTAATTCAATGAAATATGTATGAGGTAAAATAAAACAAATATAACATGGTTTCTTTCGGTTGGACAGTCGATGTTAGTTCCCCAGGCAAAGCGAAGCCTCGGGAACTACATGTAGTTTGTCAACTCCCAATACCTCGGGGAGCTAACATCGACTGTCCAACCGAAAGAAACCATGTTATATGTGTATACTTTACATCCACGCTGTACATACATGCAGGGCAATTACCTTATAGTCTTCGCCATATTTCTCCATTAAACGTATGCAGTAATTCATCAGAGGCTGTGATATGCGGACAGACCTTCCCAGTGGAACATTAGCCATGTCCTCAAGAGCTAAATGAACAGACACAAAGCAAAATTTCACACATCTCCATGGCATTTTGTTGCCTGACACATTATGCCTTCTTTCATTCCGCTCAGAGCGGATACACTAACAAAAAAACTTGACTACGGCTTACAGCAACATTGGTGTCTACAAGAAGTAGATTCACATATAATTATGTCATTGTCAGCCACAATTAGGCACTTAAGCTGCAGTAAATGCAGGCAAAGTTCATGTCGAGACATCCGCAACTGACCTTGCAAAACAAAAATCTTGGACGGTTGGCTTGGCTCAGGTGTTTCTGTCTCAGTGTCTTCACCTGCTATTGGTTTGAGCTTGTCCTTTGTAGAGAAACAAATGCAGCCAGTGAGGTAAAATAAACATCTTTAAAATGTACATCTAGCCACCAAGAACAACGTACGAAAAGTTGGCTCATTTCCAAATATTATTTGTCATTTAGTATTATAAGCTCCAATGAAAAAAACTAAGCTTGTAAATAAAAACAGTTCTATTTTATCAGTGAGTGAGAAACATACAGGAAACTATATGGACAGACATTTCAGTTTTAAAGCCATGTGTACCTATTCTCCTGACAGAGTAGTAAATAAAAAGGACAATAATTTTTTTCCCACAGGATTATTCACCTTCATTTTGGGTATCGGTATCGTCTTGTTGGGGTTGACAGACAATCCCATGTCAGCCAAATTCCTGGCCATACTCTTCCTCTTGTCCCAGGCTTCCTTCACAGGTTTACTAATCACAAGGGAGGCGTAATTTAAATACATTTGACAAAAACAAAAATAGCACAGAAGTTCACAACACTCGATTGTGTAATGAGTCACAAAGAGCCAGTGGCATACCAGTGGCCATTATGTCAACATGCTAGATAGAGTGTCTGTGATTGGTTACTGAAAAAAGAATTAAGAAAGCCAATCTCTGATTGGTCAAGATGATCCATTTTGGGTGTAGGAGTATTAAAAAAACAGCCAAAGCTCCAATGTAAAGTTTTGCCAGTTCCTTTTTGGATGAATTTTGCTGATTGGATAATACCTTTATTGCATGAAAAGACAGAGTTTGGTTAAAAGTTACGGGGGAGTAAGTCTGTTAGACACTATTGGAGGTACTTCGCCCGACCATGTCCAAATGTTAAAAAAGGCGATTTGAACTTCAAATTGTAGGGTCCAAGTTACTCGGACTAACATAAACCCACATGCACAGGGTACGACATGACATGCATGGCCAACACTGGCAGTGCCAGTAGCACTGGTCATGCTGGTATAAACTGGGCCTAGGCAACAACATTGCTAGCTAGGTCATGCATGTCATGTGTAGGTCACGTGCTTGACATGCTGGAATATCATGATTAAAACCCATTCATGACCAGATGACATGATCAGATAGATAGTTACCAAGTAATTGTGGGCATCTTTTTGGACTTCTTCCATAGCCGACGTCGATTAACTCCGTAACAATACCTATTTCCTTTAGGCATTCTTAGAATGAAATGGCACAGTACCTATACCACTTGCACTCACTAGTACTAACTCATCGATACACGCGTGCGCTGCGCTAACAAAATTTGCGTTATTTCAAGGCCTGTACGATACTTGCACGTCGACAATATGGCAGCATTAGCAGTGTATTTTATTGAGTAGCACCCGACTAAGCTAAATCTGCTAAATTTGACCCTTGACCCCGAATTAGACACTTATTCAACTTTCAAGATGGCGCCCTCCACAACAGAAGTTATGAAACCGGCCGAAAAAACAGTTACTGACCCAAGTTTTCATCGATATCCAAGCTCTTCACCAACAGCGAATATCGGACAAATGCCCGTCGAGCTTGCTGACTGGGAACCGGTAACGCCACTTGGATTCAAGGAGAAATTCAAGAAGAAAGCTCTTGAGAATCCGTTTGTCCCAATCGGTAACGTTCGACATGTTCGACAGACATGATAGAGAGGGCTCTTACATTTGCAATAATATTACAACAAAACAGATTGTTACCAGTACCACGTGTTTGTGTCAGATAAACTCAATACGTATTAATGAGTCTTGGCTAAATATTTCAAAATACAATGCAGTCGAACTTGGACATGTTGTTAGACTTAGTTGTGTGAAACGAAATTAAAATTAAATAATTTAAATACAGTACCAAATACTACCATTATCATCAAATGGTATTAAAGGGGGAAAGTGGTTTCTGACTACTTTAATCTTTCCACCATTCTTTTCATAGTGCACCCTGAAGATGCTCAACTGTGTTGTGTTTCTTTCATCAGGTATATTTGCTACAACATGTGCACTGACCATTGGATTGGTCAGCTTCCGCAGAGGTCAGGTGCATAGGTCACAGATGATGATGCGCGCCCGAGTTGCAGCTCAGGCATTCACCATTGGAGCGGTGCTTGTTGGAGTAGCCCTGCAGACGAGAAAAAGCACCAAGTCCAAGAAGCCGTGAATATGCTTCAGATTCTGAATTATCAGGGTAAAGACCCAAGTTACTGGCAGCTGCTTGTTTGAAAGTGCCCTGATTTCTAGAAAGTAAAGGCAGCTTTACACAGATAACATTCATAAATAAGACCAGCTTTCGTTGTTCTTAATTTTGAGTGGTATTACATGCAGTATCTTCAGCTGCAGTTTAACTAAACGGACATGAACATAGTTTTTCAAATTTCTTTTAATATGCACTGTGTGCATTTTTCAAATCCTGAAAAACATGATGCAGTGAGAATTGGTGGTGCCTGCAGCAGGCTGTAGAATGTAAAGACAAGGGAGTGAAATTCTTGACCGTGTTAAGACCTGATGTTATGGAGTCTTGTAGTGTTTTATTTTAAAATATTTATAAGTGTGCATCCATGTGATAATAATAACATTATTGAACATGAAATTGAGTCTCCTTTGTGATTCAGTTGCATTGTACTTTACAGAATCACTCAATCATTTAATGCCGAGGTTCAGTCTAAATTGACCATTTGTCAACTATTTGTCACTGATTGAACTTGCCAATAGTTGGAACTAGTGTACATTTTCTCAAAATGACTGAATTGTTTAAACATAAAACAGACTGTAAGAATAAAAATAAGGTATCAAGTGAACAAGTCTGCATTTAAAGGTTTCCCCATACTTTCTTTCAAATGTTGTGAATTGAATATATGCATATCTTATTTTTGTTGTATGGTTTTGAAAACTTAAGTAGGAATAAGCCCTGTGTGAGTTGAATTTGAATAAAATCTAGTACACTATCTGATTGCACATAAACTTAACAATTTGAATTGCCCAGACTAAAGACACCATTGCTATACCTTGTGATTTAGGGCAAACTTTTGCATAGCGATCATCATCTCATCTATTGAAAACAGTGTATTGGTGCAAGGTGTCTCTGATATAGCTAAGCAAAACTTGCTCTGAATCACAAGATATGGCAATGGTGTCTTTAGCATGGAGAATTCAAATTATGTTCAGAAGAATTTTTTTAACTCAGTGCACCAGATTTTATTCTAATTTAAATCGCAAAAGGCTTATTGGTTTGAATCATGAAAGCGAACATTGTGGTACTAACCTCATGACCTGGACCCTGGGTACTTTAGGGCACTGGATTTTGCCTGTTGGGATGAGCAACTATAGTGAATTAGCAACAGCAAACCTGCACTCAAAACAGGTAAAGCCCTATCCCATTTTTATCAAAGAATCACCTGAACACAAGACCGTTTTCACTAACTTTTAAATCATGGACCCTGTAAGGTTTTAATCAATTCAATAACCTATACACATCCACTGCTCACTCCCCCCCCCAACCCAAACACAAAATTGAATTTTTTAAGAAGTAAAAAGCCTGTGAATCATCCATCTACAACAAACGAGTCTTGAGGCATATTTTAAAGTGCTGGACAGTTTATTCCTTTTTACTGTATCCATTAACGTATATTTTGGTGGCTTGGCCTACAGTCACACAGTATACTTGGCCTTAAGGTGTCAAAGCAATACATTTTTACATGTTCTGATTTGTACCACATGTATAAAATTTGTTTACATGACATAGTGCTTTTGCTCACATAATACAAACACATGTAAAAGTAGTCTCACATTATTTCATAGACTTGGAGTAAGACTAAAGAGGAGAGTATGGGTCCGGTTGACAGTGTCTGCAGGGATCTCTTAGAATAAGGCTTGTACAGCTTAAGGGGTAAAGTGCATTGAAATGTGACTGCATATAAGTGTGTGCACAATGCACTGCTATTCCTGAAACTCTCAGAGGAAAGACGAATAAGTGCATTTAAAACTGACATATATATCTCAATTCCAAAACACCTACGGGTATTTACAAATAAATCAATCTCTCATGAAATTCTGAATAAATGTTCACACATTATTCGGGAAAACCCCTAAAAAGTAGGAACTGTAGGAAAAAGCAGCTATGACACACTTAAAATCTTTCCTAATACTTTTGCAATTGATAAAAAATGCTCTAGAATAGTTAAGGGGGTATGAATTGGATAACCCTGTATACATGTACAAGACTGGGTCTGTAAGAGCATAGAGCTACTCTATGGTAAGACTTAGATGTTACAAAACATTGCTTCTCTGTTTGGTACATCACAAAAATCGTGAACGGCCAACCATAGAGAACGTACATATGTAAATGAAATTAGTTCTTTCATTTGACCAACGACATAAGATTAGCACCTCTTACCACCATGTTGGCACATTTCATTTGATTCACTGCACCTGCTATGTTGACAATAAAAATGTGAAGTTTTGAAACACTGGAAAGACCAGTTTGGGAGGATGTATGGTGTATATGAGACAGTGGTTGAAAGATAAACCACCACATGAGCTTCAATGTGTAGCATGTCAACAAAATATTGGGAGACAGCTACATTTCCAATATATTTGGTCATAAAAAAGAAAAAAAATTCCACAAGTAGAAACTGAAATCTTCATAGTTAACACTTTCATCTGTATTGAAGTGTCACATTAGCCAATTTCAACGCTGTTTCTTGCCTTGTTTCTTGTTCGCCTGTGGAATTCCTTAGATGGTGATACTTGTGCAGCTGATAGCATGCATACCTTTAAGTCTAAGGCCAACATGTATCTTATATCCATTTGACTTATTCACTTGTTTCCTGTTCTTTTTTTGTTGTTGTCTTGTCCTTGTCGACGCTTTAGGTGTTTAGGGGTTGATTGTAGCAACTTCTGGTCTTTCCACTTTTCCTTTTCACCTAATGTATCTAGTTTAATAATAATAATAATATTGACGACTTTCTTTGAGCCGCAAAAGTTGACAGAAAAAGTCACAATTCTGTGTGACCAAAAACAAATGACTCATCAGCAGCACCTCTGTTCAAGTCTAGTGTGTTCCTACCATCACATTCATTTACAGCATTCTATCATGTTTTCGACTCTTAACATTTTTTAAACATCAATACAAATTTTAAAAAATCACACTTAAACAACTTGAGTCTTTTGCACGTGACTTCAAGATCAGAACTGCCCTCTAGACAAAGCCCACCACTCTTTACGGCCAACTAAAACATTGGTAATTGTAAACTAAAATTCAGATCTGAACTTCAGAAGTACTATCAATAAAATTGATAATGGAATAGAACTTATACTGTCACTTTTACTGGCTTTAGAGTACGTTCAACAAATCTGGACATCAATACCCAAGTAAAGTATTAGTGGCAGGGCTTGGACTCCCCAACTGACTGACACACCTGCCCGTGCAGTTTGAACCTGGGAAGTGTGAACTGTATGTTTTCAATTAGGTTTGTTTGATTGTTTTCTGCCAGTTGTTGTTTGAACTGTATGTTTTCAATTAGGTTGGTTTGATTGTTTTCTGCCAGTTGTTGTTTGAACTGTATGTTTTCAATTAGGTTAGTTTGATTATTTTCTGCCAGTTGTTGTTTTCTGGAAGAATAAAAATGCAATAGATGTACATGCACATGTAACCATGTACTAAGGCTTGGCTAATGGTGGGTAATTTGAGGTACATGCAACGTCCACCTGGACTTAAACCATTGAGCAAGGACCATAGTCTTTCAACATTTTATCTGCGGTATTTAGCTTTTATCTAAAAGGTACAGCTAGCAACGATGCACGGCTTAAGTTATGTTCACATTTGACGTTGAAACTCTGAAACAGAAATCCGCATCTGAGTGCCAATGGAACAAAAATTTAAATACAAAAACCTCAAAATATACAAAAATGCACTAACTGAACTTCACGGAAGAACAAAATGTACACAGAAAGATGCTAAGATGTTGACAGCACTTGTGAATATTTTACCTATTGCAAGCATCTATTCAAGAATTAAGACACCTGCTCTAACTCACACCTACCATCAAAGTCTTCAGTTCTATGGTGAATTCTAAGTCTGCATGACTTCATACCAGTCAAGCAAGTAGGATTAAACGTGGACGCCACTCTTCACCACAGGATGAAAATTTAGCTGTGCAGCAGAGCAGGCAGAGAAGGGCATGTTTTGCAAAACCCGAGGGATACTCTCTCAAGAACACAAACTCCAAATCTTAAATCTTCCCATTTCTACATAGATTTAACGATCAGAGGCCGATAAGGTCATCACTTCTTTAATGGAAATTAAAATGTGACACACGTTATGTAAACCAAAATATGCAGAAGAGTTTAACATTTCTTGGCATGGTGACAAAACATTATTAGGGCTGTGTATTGTTTTAGCAGGAAAAACAGCACTCTCACAACCCTCTTAGAGAACACAGAGTTAGAATGCTCGGGGATCAGTCTCTGCTCAGCGAAACCATTAGATCCATGATCTGCTGAATGTTGTCACTACCTGCATTTAGTACTGTTTGCGTCTCCACCACGTGAACTTCGCGCTCCTGAGATGGGACGGACGGAGTGAGTGCTGAGATGAAATCAGCTCCTCTCTTGGCTGCTGCTTGATCCTGATGAAAAGAACAGCAAATTTTGAGTCACTTAAATGCTGTGTTGGTTTTGTGAATGGGGCAGTCATTTTGATAGTGTGGTCTCCACTGTCAATGTCTGTACAACATAAGGTGAAATTATTGTGGTGTCAGAAGTGGGATACTCCTGGATGCACAATTGACCAGACCTTACCTGTTTATTGGCAATGAGCACCAGGGGTACATTTTTCAGCCTTTCATCCGCTAGCAGCTTGTGGAGTTCCTCCTTGGCCTCTGGGAAGCGTGCCTGGTCCACTGCATCCACAACAAACACCAAGACGTCTGTGCCCTTGACAAAGTTTTCCCAGTAGGAACGCACACTCTGTTGGCCACCGACTGTAAAAGAAAAGGGAGCAGTTTAGAGGAAAGGTAGGGCAAAACGCAACACAAAAACATGTACGTCATCTCTAGTAAGCAGGGGGTCGTGGGTTCGAGTCCCACCTGAGTACCCATGTGGTTTTTTTATAAGCCTTCGGGGGCATACACTGAGCATACAGTGTTAAAATATACATGTCAGGCAGGGCAAAAATCCAGAACTATGTCATCTCTAGTTTTATTTGTGATAAAAACGTTCTTTCACAAGTCATGTAATCAAAGATTCTCAAGAAGAAATTTAAGCCCAAAGTTCATGCTGTTCATGCCTACCTTCCCATATGTTGAGTGTCACATTCTGCGTCTGTACACACATCACGTTGAAGCCTTCTGTGGGATCTGGAGGCCCGGTGTGTTCAGAATGTGTCAGACAGCGTAGCAGGCTACTCTTACCAGAGTTATCAAGACCCAGGACCAGAATGCGCTTCTCAGGCAGATCCTGAGGCTACAGAGCATGAAACCAAAGGAGGAAACTCTTGTCAAACTTCTGTTGCATGGATTCTTTGGTTTTTCCTTGAAAATTTGGTCGATTAGTTGATCTGTCAGTAGATGCACACAACACAACTCAGAAACTGTCCCTAAATTTGGAGAAGTCCCTTTATTTGGAGATAAACACTAGTCCCCTAAAAGAGAGAATGTTTCCTTAAATGGGGACATTGTTTTCCCAAGTTGTCTTGGTCAAAAATATTTTGAAATATCATTGAAGCCCCAACCCTTTGACGTTGGCATTTAGGGAAACCAGTAGGTGGTGATAAAGGTTTTTTGTAAGTCTTTGGAATTTTTGAGAACCATTTTCACCTTACTATACGTAATTAATATTGTGGAGTGTTAGAATGACGATCCCATCCAAAATCAAACAAGGGGAATACTAACGCTCCACTTGGTGGAGCTAGTGCTGTGCTATCGTGCCAGACACAGATATACTCTCTGTCAAATGTGCCTTAGTTACCATGGTAACAATGAATGTAAATTTTAAAAAATGCAACTGGGGTAGGTAACACATTATTTATTTTCAAACCCAGCATGCAATGTCACTGCATTCATGTTTAACTTTATATAACGTCATGTTCATTTTATTTTACAAATACAATGATGATTGACAATGCATGATTACTTCGCCGCGTGATGGCGCCCTCTTCATCCTCCAGCTGCATAGGATGCGGGTAAGAAAACCTACCGTTTGCGCTTCCTCCTGAATGGCCATATCACGGCTTTGGCCTTCTATTGACTTTCTTCTGTGTCTGAGGACAGCGTACACCACACCTGCGACCACAGCCCCAGACCCAATGAAAAGTAGAGCCCTTTTCCCCAAACTCAAGTCATTCAACCAATTCAGTCTATCCGCCATGTTATGTCTATTGAGTCTTGTTTCCTTTCTCCAGAACATTATTTTTCAAAGCTACCGACGCTGCTGCGAACCAGACTATTATTGAATTCGTGGACAACTAATACGGAGGCTTGGAAGGCACCCAATTTTTGCAAAAGTGTAAAGCCAGGAAAATTGACTTTTTTTGGCAGGGATGACAAAAAGCAGGTTTAAATTCAAACAACCTTCAAATACATAGCCTCAGATCCGATGCTTGAACAATATTCAGTTGGTGAAAAAATTAATGAAAGCAGGCAAATTTGAAGTGCTGCCAGAAGTCCGTTTTTAAAATTCATTTTGTTAATTAACCATTCTTGATTATTATTGACTATCTCACTGCTTAACTAATTGTACTTTCACATGATTTTGATTTTGTTTGAAAGATTCCTCAATCAGTGATCATTACGCATATAATAATGGTATTTGAATTCCTCCATGGAAAGGACTGAATGATTTGTCATTTGTGGAGCACTAGTGAGTAAATTAAATGAGTTTTAATGTTAAAATAATGATTATCGTTGGTCAATTTTTATGTTTTTGGATGAAAGTTTAATCAAACTTTTTATGTTGTGCCATTTTATACTGTCAAGGAGATTAGAAAGAATTATTTAAACTCAGATTTTTGTTAATTTTTTTTCATTTTCCAAGCTTTTTAAAATACTGTTTTATTTTCTTATTATTCCTACGGAACCCATATGAGATCATTATACAGATGGAATGAATCACCCAGTATGTACATGTACAGTCTTTGTTCTTCTTTGTTGTCCATAACTGATAACACAACAAGATAATTTGTGAAGTCCCAAGGACAATTTGTAGTGTTACACTGTATACGAAAAGCCCACCACTGAGTTCTATGAACTTTGAATGAGTACATTTTCAAATGTAAACATTTTGAAGACGTGAAGAATATATTTTTTCAAGTGGGTTTTTATGAGAAATTTCGTTCTACAATTTTTTTTTAAGTTTCTTTTCGTAAGATCTATTTCTTTAGAAATTTTGTTTCTATTTTGGGGGAAAATCGTTTTCACGAGACATAAATACGATCGATAATATTGTGACGTGACTCGACAGAGGGCGCTAGTCACTAGGCACGGTGCAAAGTTACAGATGGCGCTCTGCCCAGTAACAGAGGCAGACGTTAGGCGCGCATAGCTAGCTGTGTGTTAAGCGAGCGCGGCGCATAGGCTCCGCCTTGTACGTTGAGCGATAGGGCAGCAAAAGTCACTGCTTCATCACGTGGGCGCGGGCGTGGTCACAGCAGCGCAAAGGCTATAAAAGGCGCGCGCAGGATAGGCTAGCTAGGCTAGGCCGGCTAGGCCAGGCTAGGTCTACGTACCCCCCAGTCGTCCTGATCGAGGGCTAATTTGAGGTAAGGATCAAGAATCCTGTGCAAGGGTTAAAGTCACCTAGCCTAATGTGACTGTGCCTAAGTCTGAGTGGTGCGTGTATGTGTTGTTGAGGGGCTCGATAGGTTGAGGGGCTAATTGGTGGTGTGGTATAGTTCCTGATAGGAGCTTGCGGTCGATGCAAGGGCGCATTGCTATCTCGTGACGTGAGTTGCGTGTAGCGCTAGCGCACTGAGCCCTTGGCCCTGATAATAAGCCCCGTAAACTTGCCAAAGTCCCTGATTCAGCACTGGATGCCTACAATTAAAATTGTGGTGTTCGCTGCTCTGGGCGAAGTCTGGGTCACGTGTAACTACACCGTCTCCTCGTCAATAGCGCCCTCTACTGGTGTATTGGTTGAGTGTGTTGACGAATAAACCAGCCGCTTATTAATACGGCCGTTTCACAATAGTGCGCCACCAAGAGTTTGCAACGCGTTGGCCAATCACAATGCGCGAAATTTGTCGACCCAATGCGTGTTTGGAAAGGGTCGACAAATTTCCGCGTTATAATTGGCCAACGCGTTGCAAACTCTTGGTGGTGCACTATTGTGAATCGCCCGTATTGTTGTTCATAAGTCAGGTGTCCAGGCGAAGTTTATTTCAAGTCAGGCCTGTCCGGGTTACGTCATTAAGTTTCGACTAATCAGATTAGCCATCATCTCGACGAAGACCAACTTTTTGGGGGGACGGTACGGACTCTCCCTAGCCTAGCCGTTCATGGACTCTCCGGCGTGCCATCCTATCCGATCCGACGCGCCTCGAGGAGGAGGGCGCCCTCGCCTTCGTTGGAGGGGTGGTACGGTACGCCACAATACGATAATGGTACGATGACTTGAACTGAGTCTATCGATTAAAATTATGCAAGTACTAGACTGATGTCACTGGTATCCGGCTTGTTTACGATCGTGTACACTGAACGAAGCAAGCTTCGACCCTTGTACGTTTGTACAGGGCCGGTCCGGCATTGTATGCGGCAGTGCATCGGTGCAGTGCCTATGTACCGTGTGGAGGACCGGACATGACGTTGTAGAAGTCGTGGTCGATGGAACCAAATGTTAATGAAGAAACTAGCGCTAACCAAGTCAACATGGTCAAGTAAATGTCGTAATGGATATCTTTATCGTTTGGACTTCCTGTAAATATTATAGTAGGTTTAACACTTATGCTGGTCGATGATGAAGTCGAAAACTGTTTTAAAGGAAGTTATGAAAATTAAAGGTAAGGAAATCGGAGACGTAGACATTTTAGAAGAATGGTATGCAACCAGCAACTGACACAGCTGTTAGTATAATCATGGAGGAAAGAGGTCCCCTCCATCTAGCCCAGGTTGGATGTCGTCTACATTGCATTGCGACTAACGTTCAGGGTGTAAAAGTGCTCCTACAATGCAAAATTTTTTTCAACGTTTTTTCCTCGCATTTTTACCTGGCGAAGACAGCTCAAAATGTCCTTCGCAAGTGCCCATGATATATCCAGAATTCCATAAATGCTGCGTTGAAATTACTAAAAACGGTTAGCTGACGGGAAAATTTGATTTAATAGCTTTCTTACACCTGTGAACCATTTCTTCACAAAAATTTGATTCCAAAAACCCATAGCGTCACGACACCATGTAAACCCTATTATGACGGAGTAGTGACTTAGAGTTCTCGAAGTATTCGTGACTTTAACTTTCATATCAATTATCAGCCATGTCTGCAGTCTACAACCAACCTCTTTGCTTCATTTATTCTTTGTAAATTTCGTCAGCTGTACATCATAAACAGTTCAGTGTCTTTTTTTCTGCCTTTGTTAGCTCTAGCTCTGGATAGAGAAGAGGACGAAGAAGAAACTCCGTTGAGATGGATGCAGAGCCGAAACCCCTCGGAAGTGGGAGGCCAGAACGCTACGAAATTGAAGATCATGATTCAGGCTCCCCGCTGACATACACCTCGCTGAAGACATTTGATGCCAGCCGCATCTTCAGTAAGAACCCTCGCAAATATGATCGGCTCATTGCCCAGGAAGAGGGCTACTCAAAAGATGATTCGGCGTTCTCCGACACCGAAATCGACATGCCCAGGTACAGGTCCTGTGATGCCCCGATGAGGCTGCGCAACCGATCCAATTCCCTCACCTCACTGGACACGGTAATTGCCATGCAGACTGACGTTGCTCAAGCTCAGCCTAAAGTGCCCGAGATGGATGACAGCAACATAGTGGCATCTCACCTAGCTGACCACATGTACCGACGCTGCTCGTTAGACCACATGGCAGATTACTACTCCCGACGATCCTCAGACGCAGCAGTCACGGCAATTTGGGAACCAACAAGCCATGGTACCTTGCAAACATCAACCAAAACAACAGTTGAATCTGCCGTGGCAACTTACAAGATTGACAAGAAGACAGGTAATGGCTTCAGTAGTTGGTTCTCAAAGTGAATTTAAAGTAGGGTAATTCCAGAAATTAGGGTCCAAAAGTGTGACATTTTCATGTCTGTTACATCTGACCTTTGTTATTTGACATGGAAATAGCACCAGAATTGATTTCAAACTATATCTATTTGTTTGGCAGGTAATTTGCATTAATTCATCGCTCTTGGAAATGAGAAAATGTGTGCTGAACTTACAGTTTCATATGTCAGGGACATATGTGACAGGGACACGAAAAAATGGAACCAAAATTTCTGGAATTACCCACTAGTCAAATTAGAATGTACTTTGTTGAATTCATTACTGATTGAATTGATCTTTGTCAGTGAAAGCAAGGCAAATTAATGTTGGTTGTGCTGAATACAATGTTACCCTGTTGCACACCAGCTGAAAAATTTGGTGAAGGGCACCTTTCCGATATCATGATGAAGGCAGCATTTAAGGAAACTCTGACCTCTCCCAAGAAGGACGAGGAGAAAACCAAGGAACAACGGATCTCTGTAGAAGGAGGACGTGCCTCACCAGCCCCGAGCAAGGAGGCCCAGGACAGACGGATGTCCCTGCCTGAGACGGCCAAAGAGTAAGTATTCACTTTGGCAGGACTAGGCGTTCAGAGTCTGATGCAGTCAGTAATAAGTTATAAGTAACACCCTGGTGCAGTCTTCTGGAGGCTAGTCAACAGAAAGAATGAGAGACTGTGCCAAAAAGAGACATCTGTCTGTTTAATCAGCTGTATTATTTATGGCATCTTTCCATTCATGTATATCTGTTGCCCTGCTCATGATGACTGCTGTATTTCCTTCCATGGAAGGTCCAGGCCTCTGTGCTGTCTTGTTCTCCAAAATTTGTTCTCCAAACAGCAAGCCATATGAGAAATTAAAAGCCCTGTGTGGCAACATATGATTCAGAAAACACCGCCATGCTGTAGAAATATCTTAATTTCTATACTTTTTTCTCCCCTGTTTTAATTGAAGTGTGGAGAAAACATCTGTGGGTGAAGAAGTGTCTGTCAAGGTGACCTCAGTCCATCCAGAGCCTCGCCGCCTGTTTGGCATAGGACCACTGTACCACCCCCTTCCAGAAATGGTAGTGGAAGGAGTGACTTCCACTGATGGCTCGCTGGTGAACAAGATCAAGAAGGAAGGCCTGGCCATGGGCGCAGAGGCAAAATCAGGGAAGAAAAAGCCACCCACAAAAGCTGAGATCAACACCTGGGCACCCTTCTCCATGTGATGGCGCAGAGAGTTCCGTGTTGATACTCAGCATGGCATTGGATTGGTCCATCCTGTCCTTGGGCAGATATTTTTATATCACGTTCATGTTTGTTGAATGTGTTAAAAATAAGAAATAAGTTTCTGAGAAATTTGTATCAAATTTCACAATGCTTCCTTTTGATGTGAGATTCGAAATGAAATGAATGAATTTGCCCTAAATTCTTGAAAAAAAGAATGCACTGATAAAAATGTGGATGGACCGCTTACTTGCCGCTTTGTCCGCCAAGTTAGTTCCCTGGTCCAGTAATACATCCCTATGATAGATGGCAGAAATGCAAACACTTCTCATGAGAAGTTCTGAGCTAATTTATAAGCCTGCTGTCTGTGAAGTATCTTTTGTGTTTTGTCTTTTCATCATTCAAAAATGATATGACTGTTGAATATTGATTGAATGTTTATTAGAATTGAATGTAATGCATGTATGCTTTCTCTGAAATGCATGATATTTCCAAGTGATGAAAAATGTCGCAAATATCGTAAAATTTATTATGTACCACATAAATATGGCTTTTAAAAGTCACATAATAAAGTGTCATGTTGAATGTTTTGTTTTGCCTTACTGTTAAATGCTTTTAAACAAGACCAAACATATCTTATTGTTTAACAGAATAAAAATTGTTTGGTTGATTTCCTAGTATATGATGTAAGCACTCAGCTTTTGACATTACAAATTTACAAAGTTGTGGCTAAATACCCGGGTTGCATTTTGGCAGGGCCCACCAAGAATTTGTTCCATTGTTTCTCTTTGGTGTGAACATTTGGGTAACTTTAATATGGCAAGAATTCTGCGTGATGATGTAGTAGTCAGGTACCCAAACAAATTAACTAAAGAGAAACAAATCAATTTTGGGTATCATTGTGAAAATGTACAACAGCACTTAGAAAAGTGCATGTGTTGTTATTTTTTTTTGTCAGTGAAGCAGAAATTTCTGAAGCCTGAGTGTGAGGAAAAATGGTCTTAAAATCGTCTTCATGTCATCAAGTGCATAGAGATTATTCCAGTATTTTGAAATGTTTACTTTTATCTTTTGTAAATGATTCAAAAATAAATTAGATCAAATTAGTCAAATACAAAAACGACATGAGCAACAGAGTTTATATTGCTAAACATAAACCAAGCCATGAAAAAGATTTAAATATACAAAGATATGTAATTTAATGTTGCTTTTAAAATATAAGCCTGGATTGCTTTAATTGTATTGTTTTGATGTATGGTCATTTTAATTGCATTTGTTATAGAAATTTAAAATACAAACACAGCACTGGCTTGTGCGTGTTTTATTTTCACAGTTTACTTTCAAACCAAAGCAAATATTCAAAGTGGCATTTCCTGTAATTTTTTTCACAATATAAAATTGTGTCCTGTAACACTGCCAATGTCTGGAATTGTCTAATTTTGACTGGTCACCTATGCACAAATATTTCCCGGGTACCATGCAAAACCAACCATTGGTTGACCAATGGCTGCCGACTAAACTTGCCGGTCGTTACTAATCCTTTCCTGTATGTCCCCTGTCCAAAGCTGCCATAATAAATTCCTTGATATGATCTTGCCTAATGTTATTTTTGTGTGATACTGAGCCTAGGTGTCAGTGTTCAATATCAGGACTGCTTCAGATTTGTTTCTGTTCTAAGAATACATACATATTAAAACGTGTTGTGTTATTGAATAGTGTTGGATTCGTTGACTAAATGCGTTCAAAACCTTCAATGAAATCGTCAGTCTACAAGTGGCAGTTTTCCAGTGAAATTGAGAGTGGTTAGGTATTGGGGACATGGCCCAGTGCATGAAGTATTGGGGATTTAATTGGAAACTGGGTCAAAATTAGGCTGCATCCAGCCTGGAAGGTTTAAGCGCGCAATAAAAGCCAATTCGAGGGTGCTATGCACAGTTTACAAGCAACATACATGTGCGTGTAGCTTTGTGATGCCTGAGGACACTTGCCATAATTATGTACGGGAAGGGTTTATTTGCCAGACAAAATAACATGTCTGGTGCTTTACGGACCAGCGTATTTTTCACTTGTACGTGGAGGTAGGAATGCTGTTTTACATAAATGCGTAAAATAAATAGAAAAATCTGTGTAAATAATGAACAAATAAATCTCCAACAAAACCCATCATCGCATGATTCCCTTTTGTGTTTATCAATCGTGTTTGGTTGATCTCATTCCCATCCTAATAAGAGCAATGCAGCAATGTAGTTGTAGTGCAACCGGATCCCACCACGTTCTTTTAGACTTTATCGAGTTCCACCTACAGTCATGACAGTTTCATCGATACTCATCCGACTAAGTGATGGTTGGGTGATGGTTCATATCATGCGTGTTCATTAAATCTAGATTTCTCCATTTTTTCCCTTTTGTTGGATATGTGACAAACTTGTTTTATTTCTCCATGCTTGAACGTACGAACGACCGCATTGCTTGTGATGCACCGCGCGGTACCAACTACCATGAACACGTACATGTACATGTAGTACGTACACGTACATGTATATGTACGTACCCCCTCGCCGCCCCCTGTCATGTCGCGCACGCACCGCGAGCGCTCCAAAATGTGGGGTCTCGTATGGTGTACCATTCACGACACACATTTCTGCCTCTATCTAGTCAAAGGCGACCCAACTACGCGACAGGACGGCGGCTCCCTCGCGTCGTGCAATTGCGTTCTTTATGGTGTTCTATAGCTGCCAAAATTGCGTTGCGTCGTCCCGTCGCCCCAACGGCACGACGCGACGGCACGACGCGACGGCAAGACGTGTGGTGTTCTATAGCCGCCAAAATTGCGTTGTGTCGTTCCGACACCACGACGCAACGCTACCGTGGCTACGACAGCTCCGTAGCGTCGCCTCTTTTCTCATTACTTAAAAAAGTTTTATGCTATGTTTAATCCATTGTGTCGTGCCGTCTTGCCTTACCGTCCAATCGAGCCTTCGTGATGTCGCGTCGTGCCGTCGTAGCGTCGTGCACGTAGTTGCGTCGATCGCCTTGCTTGAGAGAGGCTAGTAGAGAGAGAGACAGAGAGAGAAAATAATGTCACAAATAGTACACCATGGCCTTGTGATCGTGGGTCCGGTTCCACGGTTCCAAACAAATAGATTCAAGATGGCCGCAGTTGAATGACGAAGTTGGAAGTACGGGAACTTCGTGACGAAGTGTTTTTGGTGACACGAAGTTCTGATATTATGCGTGGGTCGCCGTTTAAATGTTACTTGAAGAATACCGGCTTGTACCATTTTTCTTTAGGCCTACATCGTTTTAGCCGCTGTGTCAAGGAATCTAGGGAGAGAATTTAGTTTCGCTCATCTGACGTTATTCCTCTGAGCTGAGTGACACTGTGTTCGTGGTTTACGTTTGACTTTTTGTCACTTTTTGTGGGATTCGTCACAACAGAAACGCGATCAGGGAACTCTAACTGTTGCGTTAAAAATGAACCGACGAATTGAAAAATTTGCAGGTCGAGGAAAGAATTAAGGTTCCCAGACAACAGTATTTTGAAGTAATCCATCAAGAATACACCAGGAGTGGACGCTGACGTTTCTGCGAATATTTTGACTGACAGGAGATTGTGGTAAGCAGACAGTGCAGAATTAAATATCATGTTTATTTTTCAACACTTTCAACATCAAACGGTGTCAGATTTAAGTAAAAAATTAGGCAGTAAGTTGGGCTTATTTCCATAATAAATTATAAACAAAGCAGATTTTCAACATTTTACTAGCACAAATTTCCATTTCAAAAAGTTGGAAAAGTAAATCTTAATCTTGTTAGGGCCTACATCATACATGAAATCATTTAAACTTCATATCTACAAACTTGGTAATAACTGAGTAGAGATCAATTTTTTCAAATGTGACATTAACAACAATGTTAATTCACAAATCATGGAATAAGATCACACAAGGGTCAAGCGATCACTTACATGACTTACAATGTAGATCGACTGATTTCTCCTGACATTTATGCTCAGTTGGATGGGAGACGGGGGCTGCTTACAAAACCAAAGGTCTTCAAGAGAGTTGCATTTGTGAACGGTTAATGAGGGCTTAAATTACATGTTGAAGTGCTTTAAAATTCCAGAGTAGGTTACAGTTGTGTGTGTCTTGTCTTTCACAGATGCAGCCATTAAGCAGTGCTGAGCCTACCGAATCGAGCAGCTCCACCCCGAGTGCATCAGGTAACTCCAGCACCAACACAAACACTGTCACCAGCAGCAGCAGTAACAGTAATGGTAACACTAACAGTAGTAGCCACCGCCACAGCAGCGGCAGTGGCAGCCGCTCCCGCAGCAGCAGCTCCCGCCGTCACCGGTCACGCTCCCACGGTCACCACCATCGGCACCGTAGCCGGAGACGGCGCCACAACCCCAAGCGGGCCGAGCGTAACCTGGTGGCGGCCATCTTAGGCATGGTGGTCATCGCTGTGCTGATCTCCTCGCTGGCAGAGAAGAAGTGGTTCTACCTGCACGGTGGGCAGTGCAGTAGTCTGAATAAGAAAAATGAAGATCTTGGCGCCTACCAGTTCCTCACCCCTGGCATAGAAACCGATCCTGGTAAATATTTCAACAACAAGCAGTCTGAACTCTTTTTCTAGGGATGTAAAGTTGAACTAAGAAATGGAGTTCTGTAGCCATGACTACATGCGTAGGGTCATTGTCTGCGCCATGTATTGCAGTGGGGGAGACTAGACGTAGACCAAGACATCAGAATTTGATATAATCCCAGACTTTTGGCTCAATTTGCATTTTCTGTTTAAGTGAAAGTTTTAGTAACTCAAATGTGAAAGCTAGGAAGCATTTTCTTACATCGGGGGCTACATTTAGTCTATTTATCGACATGTAATTGCATAAATGATAAGTTTTATTGTTCCAGAAGTTCTAATGCAACCATTAGTGTGTGTGGGCACTTGTGATGCAGATTTGGTTGTTTAAATCTTTCTGTTTTGCTGTGACTTTTTTTCAATAACAGGTTACAAGTACTGCTTCAATTTCCAAGTGGTGTCCATTATGCGCTCAGTCATCGCTTTCATCTTCCTCGCGATCACTGCCTCCCTGTTTGCCTTCTTCCTGGACACGCTAGGACCCATGCAGCCCTCTCTGAAAGTCATTCGGCGCCATGCTGTAGGCAACATTGTGACAGGTGAGCACACTGAGAAATCAGTACACAATTTCATATTCCTGCTCAGAGCAAAAAAAATAAGAAGAGTACAGATCAACAATGATGTATTTGTCATGACTTTTGGACAAATAATCTGGGTTTAGCCGATGGGTCCCTGCTTAAGACTGACTTAGGCGCCATCCCAATCTGTAGCTTAGAGCTAGGTCTAGGGCTTCACCGACTGGAGATGAGTGAGACATATTGACAGTAGACGTAGCCATTGCTCTGGAAGCTATTTCGGACAGGTAATTAGTGCTGTTGGAAACATTGACTTGATTGGTTTTCTCAAAACCACTTTGAGCTCTGGAATCTGCACCATGAAAACTTAGGCTGATACGGCAACAAGCTTACAGTTTACAATAATGCACAAAATTGTACTTATAGTACATGAAGTCCCAACCAATAATCAGTAACAAACCAATACATTGTTATTCATATACCTTGCTAAGACCAAATGCAAACCTCAAGTGATACTTGAAATTCAATCATCAAAGCTGGATTTTTGTGACTTATGTGACTGGAACCTGTGCTGTGCACTGAAAGAACAGTTACACTTATCAAAAACGTTGAATTTTTCCTTCTTTTTTTTGTGGCAGTACTGTTGTGTTTAATGATGTGTGGTTTCTGCCACTGGTCGGCCTCATTGATGGAGGACGTCTTGAACCAACACAAGCTGGCAGAGGGCAGCAAGGTGGTGGTAGCCTTTGGCATCGGTTACTACCTCATTGTAGCCTCGGGGGCGCTCTCGGTCATCATCGCAGCCACCAACCTGCTTCGGCCGTACTCATCCTACGATGAAACCCCTCGAGAGAGGCTGATTGAGGATTGGGACCAGCTCCTGGAGGCGGAGCTTGCCAATTCATCCAATGGTCCACCACTCATTAACCCTGCTAATCTACCTGAACCGCCACCTTACACTCCCTAGAGTAGCAATTTTTATGAAAGACAATCAATATACAAGTAGTTTACACAGAAAAATAATTCTCTTCAGTCGCATTAATTTTTTCCCGTGAACGTTAGCATCTGATAGCATCTGAATTTTTTCTGGGTGTTTTTAGAAAAGGAAAGTTAGTATTCACATGAAATGCTACAGGCCCAGCTTGAAAAGTCCAACGTTTGTGTCACCTTATTGGACGTAATGACATACGTGTTGTAATGACATACGTTTGTTCTACTTGGTAGTATCGTATGACAGTTTACTTTACAAGATCACAGACTGACAAAACGGCAGTGTATTCAGTGGGCTACTCGCTCAAGTAGATTCATGGCACAAACGTTATTGCGAGTTGAGTTTGGATCATAATTATGCTGTCTCATATTTTTCAAGAGTGTCTTTTATATTGAGAACTGTAGTTTTATAACTAGCCAAAAGAAACTGGAAATGCTTTTGGCTTCCGGTATTTGGTGTTACTGATTGGATATGTTTTCATATTCTTCTGCCCGTGACTCAGGCAAAAAACTGCCAGGGCCTCCTCTCCCATTGAAGACACACTTGAAAAGAGTCTAATATTTCAGGAAGGATGGCAGCCTAATAACTCTTGGCCAATAATTACTTGGTCCTTGGTTGCAATTCCATGGTACAAATAAAATTTGTAACATCGTTTCATGTGCCTCTAATATGGAGGACACCAATATTTAAAATGTAAAATGGAATGAGAAAGAAAGAGGATTCTTTTGTCAATTCTTGAATTTCTAACTGCAAAATTCCGTTATAATTTGGTTGTTGAATGATATATTGCACTTTGCAGGTGGAATATACTAATGTAGATAAGCGATTTGCTTTGTTTAAAAGTATTACATGTACTGTATGATTTTTAATGGAAAAGTACTTGAAAGCGCTGTCCGTAAAGGTGGATGATGAACTGCTGTTGAGATCAGATCCGTGAACGTGGGAGCCACTCCCAAAATATGATGGGAAAAGTACCCACATTCTTGTACGTTTTTCAGTTGCTGCAGTTCTAAATCAAAATGGTTGGAAGCCTATTTACCATTTATTTGCAAGCATCTGTCTTTGGGTCACTGTGCTGCACAAATGTGTCTTCACAATCAGTAGATCATGTTTTTTTTGATAGTTTTGGACAGAAATAATGCAGTGTTGCAGAGCGATTTGTCATTCTGAATAGAGTGCGTATTCTATATGGGCAGCGCGTTCTGTTAAGATGTCTGTATATATTTGATTTGATATAAATCTTATATATGTCTCTCGTATAAAGGAAGAAAAATTAAACATTCTGATTTATGTAATTATTTCTTCTGCCTTTTATCTGCAAATCTATTTAATATCTATGGGCTGGGAAGTTTTTTTTTAAATTTTATTTTAATGTGTTGTTGGATTTTCCTGTCAACATGTACTATAACTGTAGAAGTCTCTCTGGCACTCTGACGATTTTCTACATTGTATTGCTCTTCTCCGTTTTCATCTCATCTGAACTGCCTGGTGCCAGTTTCATGGACTGTGGATTTAGTACAGGTGTCAGGATCATGTAGAATATGAAATCCTACCCTTGTTCTTGTCTTCTGAGTGTTTGATGTACATACCAGTACATCTATGCATGTGGCCTGAATGAGGGTCTTTGCATTATGTTCTACAGCAAGGGGTTCAACTCTTGTTATGCAACTCTCTCCAAAGCATCAGAGGCATAGGCAAGTCCTTCACTAGTCTTCAAGTCTTGAAGTGACAGAAGCCTTCCCCTTGTTAGATCATCGTTAGTTAAGAATGGTCTGGTCAAAGGACTTGTCTTGTGATGGATTTGACTGCGACACTGCAAAGCTCTCATCATGTTGGTAAATTGCTTATCAGAGACTGAGGCTTAAAGTTAGGAACTGAAGCCAGAACTGAGATCAACTTCCATATCAGTACTAAATTTCACAAAATTTCCTAGAGTATTGTAGGAATCATAAGGCACACCGAAGATTGAATGTAACCTGAAGGAATTTCAACTAGTGTGAATCTAAAAGGCTCTGCTTTGTAAATCTCTTCAAGGAACGCTTAAATTCTGCAGATTTTTTATGCTCATGTTTTTCAGAAAACCTGTACACAGTTTATTTACAGCTTACAATCTACAACTTTAACAACTACTTGTACATCTATTAAGACAATCGCAAGAGGAGATTTTGAGATTGGATAAGACGAATGGTTTGTCAAATTAATTCACACAAATAGCAAAGCACCAGAAGCCAACCCTGCGCATTATATGTACAAAACTTCAAATTATGTTTTGTATTTACAAGACAATGCCAATACATCGGGTTAGATACATGTAACACGAGAAATGAATAAAACAATTTTTCTACCTGTGGAAGAAAAATCAATAAATCATTTTTCTGTGTTATTTATTTGTTAAGGTGTTATTAGAATGATATCCATTAGTTGTGAGCTTGATACCCCGATATATTGATATGTAAGAGCAGAATTATATGTGCTATTTCATAAGGTGGGCACTTTCATCCAGAAATCTGTGCCCAGTGGTAGATAGACAAAAAAAACACCTGTGTCAAATACCACAAACTTAAACGCAAACTGTGATGAGGATTACTAGTGGGTGACAATGACAGTGAAATTTGTCAAATCATTTTACAAATCATGTTCAATGCAACTCTCCACATGGAATATCTCACACGTACCAGGTAATGCTAGTTTTCTAAGAATTTTCTTTCTGGAACCTGGCCAACTGAGCAGTAGACTTGACTCATGTCGGGATCCTCAGTGACGTCTGCGTTTATGCTTTGGATATGGAGGCTGCATGTCGTTCTTTGCTTTATGCCCTCTCGTGTCCACCTATTACTGAGTTCAGAAATCCTGACTTGATGAATCTGCCAACCGTTCGCACATGGCGAATGAGCTCATCTACTAAAAAAGGTTGCAGCCAATCAAATTGCCAGACTTGTTTTTACATTGTTAATACCTCTATTATAATGAACGAGTCTACAAGTCTGACTACTTTGGTGGAGGTTCCAAGTCTGACTGCATGTACATGATTCCATCTACAGAAATTCTGTATACATTATTCAAGAACATGACGTTTGTACACTATTATGAATGACTACATTTCACCGACGGGGGGGGGTCTGATTGGCCTGTGAAGTTGGACTTACTGACTGTACGTTGTACAGTCTTTGACACTAAAGCCTGATATCTGAGAAAGGCTATCAAATGAGGGCACCTTGTAAAACGTTATGCGAGTGACCGAGCACAACCATGTACTGTGTACAGTGAAGGGATGGCTGAATGGGAAAGAGCAACACACGTCCGACTTGATTCAAGTTTAATTGAACCGTTGCGCAGTAACCAATATTCACACTGTCTGTGCATTTACAAGACTTGGACACCAAGCCCAACGTGAAATAAAGTTCCGGGGAAAAACATGAAGATAAAGACAGGTGGTCAGCGTACGAAATGGATAATGGTCTCCACCATTCTTGGAAATCACTGGGTTGTACTCGAATTTATTCCAAAGAGAGAGAGTCACAAGAAAGAATATCATCTCTAAAAAAATTAAGTTTACATGTATTAAATTCGGAATGTGTTTATATACCACACTGAAATGCTGCAAATTGATCCAAATTCAATATGGCTGACGCCTTACTAGAGGTGTCTTTTTTTACAAGGAACTGTACAGATTGACTCAAACCCTCTGTGCTTTAACCACTTGCTGCAGGGTGGAATTTGAAGTTGCATTACGTAAAACCGGGAGACTTTCAAGATTTTTCGTTTTCAAAATTCTTTGAAAAAATCATAGCTTCATTTACTGGACGTTTTATCCCACACGAATAACTGTCTAGCGACTACTCTAATCTGACAGACAACATCTATTGACGCCCGAGTATATACCAGGCACGAAACCACCCCACCAACAAGTCCAATCCTTATACACACTCCAGCCTATTGTCACTTAACACATCCCCCCTAGATGTCTGAAAAGAATTCCTGAGATGCCAGTCCAACACAAAGGCGGGGGTTCTCTCTGTCCCATAGTTTGCTTCATTTGTCCAACTATTTTAGCCAAGCCTGCTGCCTTGTAAAAAGAGCCAAGATTATGCAGTGTTATGTAACTTTCTTTTGTTCCCGAAACTGGCAAAGTGCGCTGCTGGCGTCTTTTTAATAGGGGCCAGATTAGCGTGCAGCAGTATTGTATCACTCATCACTGGAGCGCTTTTGTCCCTGGTGGTAATCCGCTCGCTTTGAACCCCACAAACAGTAATATAATCTCTCAAAATAAGGACAGATTTCCTCCGCTTTTGACAACTGAAAAAAATGTTTGCTAATTCCCAGCAGCTCGGTCTTTTGTTCCGAGTATGGTCTTTTCTTACAAAGCCCAGCTCTTTTGTCCAGTTTTGGGCTTCCCGGTTTCATGTACAAAGCCCATGTGCCTGAAACTCGGCTCCCTGGCAGCATATGGTTACGACATTCTTCGGGTTTTTCTTTGCAGGGCGTGGGAGTATCATTTCGGGCAGCACTTCAAGCTCGTCATTCTTGTACGGAGGCCCAATTAAAAGTGAGCCATGGGGTCTTCAAAACGTTTCCTCTTCATGCGAAATGCCTCCATCTCTTCTTCTGTGGGTTCCCTGGTATCCATGCCCCGCAGGGAGTTGTACGGCCTCTTGCGTTCGTCCATGGCCAGAATCCGCTCCGCTTCCCTCTGGTTCTTCTCCTCCTTCTGCAGTGCCTGCAAGTTAAGAAACAGAACAGAGAATATGAAGACATTTGATACATGTGGTTCAATCCCTCAACGTTATCCAACAACTTCCAATCCCAACTTTTTCCTCAACTGTTACAGCAGTAGATAAACTTGCTTTCTCCACACGAGAATTATAAAGGCGATCAGGGCGTTACCGTGGTAAAGATTCAGACAAGTATTTTGGGTCAACCCTATTCCCCTTTGATGCCGTTCCCAAGTCCTTACCTCAAGGAGCTTCTTCTGTTTACTTGCTGCTTCGTCCTCTTCACTATCGCTGTTGCTGTCATCGCTGCTGCTCTGATGATGTCTCGTTTTCTTCTTCTTTTTCTTGTTTTTCTTCCTTTCCTTCCTTTTCTGCTCTTTCTCCAACCGGTCTTTGTGTTGCTGTTACGTTGGCCAAAAAGATTAAGGGCAGCCGTAAGGTTCCGCACAACATAACTTCACTCAGAACACCTTCACACATTTTCATCCAAACATCAGATTTCTGTCATCGTCCGTGTAATCCAGACCAATGTGAGCAAAAACAATGTGATGCATTCAACGTGCTTGTCTTCTGATAACTTCTACCCTACCAACGAGCCATCAACACATTTGACAATATCTTTTCAGTTAGGCCCTAAATTACAACATGCAGACTGGCAAACCACTTCTAGTTTCAGACACTATGACACAGAGTATGGCGCCCTCACATGGGTGTACGCAAAGGGAATACAATTAGCAAATTCCACAAGGTGTCACCCACCTCCAGCAGGGACTTGGGTTCCTCCTCATCAATTTCTGTGGGTTCCTGCTCAGGTATTGCCATTTCCGTGTTCGCAGCTTGCCGTCCAGCGTGGCCAGTGCAATAAGACCCCCTAACTGTAGAATGGCAGCAGGCGTAGCCCCACCGAAAATCCTTCCAGTAAGACCCCCACACAGTCTATTAAAAACGAGGTCACAAAAGCCAGTTACCTCAGTTTAATAACAAATACCATACTATAAAGTTACCAAGCTTTCACTTTATTAGCAGGAATGAAACAGCTAGAATGTGAGCCAATGTAATCTGCATCAGCTGGTATACTCACCGTGTGATTATTGGTCAAGATGTCCTCTTCGTATTTGGATTTGACCTTTGCCTTCTCTTGACCTTTGATGACATTGCCATGCCTGGAGTACTCCACATAGTTTTCCTGTTGCAGAGAAAAATGCACGTACACTTCTTACGTAAACGTGAAAGTGAAAATTTGATTGGGGAAGAAATTTGCCCAGAAACTGTCAATTTACTGGCATTTGGAGACATTGCGCAGGTTATGGAATAACCTTTACAGTACGCTCAGAAGTCAATGTCGAGTGTTTACAAATGAAGACATGACTTTACCGCAAACATCACAAACCGTACCAACGTTCTGTCAAAACCTTAGTCAAGTGAAAGGACAAAATGAACGTTAAGGGTTTTCAACTCCAAGTTGCTGAAAGGCAGGACAGCAGTCCAGGAAGGACCGGACAAAATGTTGGAGGAAATGAGACACAGAAAACTGAAGGTGCAACATATACACGTTGGAATCATTCAACACCAACAAAGACAGACTGGCTCTCAACTTACTGTCTGGGCCAGCAAGAGCTCACGTGGTGGGGCTTCCAGATGTTCAGCTCCTCCATACTGCAGAAAAATTGAAACATCTGACACTGCCAGTTATGCACAAATAAAATGTCTTTATTTATTCACCACTTAAGAGGGGCTTCAATGCAGTTGTGGAAAATTAAAAAGGGTGCAAGGATCTCCTAAACACTATTCCCAATGTTGTGTCCTTGAGCAATCCAACTGACTGCAACTGCTTCTCTCAATTCACACTGAATGGGCACCTACCTCAGCAGTTGGACTTGGATCATTCTTGTACATTCATGAGCCTAGTCATCCATCTCCACAAATTTTTTTCTTACATAGTTCTTAACTTAAGCGCCAAAAGGTGCTTCTGAAAAAAGGTTTTGGAAATAAGTTCCAGTGATACGACCTTTTTGAATGATTAGTGGACATACCCTCTCCAAGATGCTGCCTTTCTGGTTTTGCTTGAAGTCGTCTTTCTTGACTTTGAATTCCTTGTGCAACAACTCCAACTTGGTAGGTTCTGCCTGAAGATGGACATCTGTTCCTTTATCAGATGCCTCCCAAGCAAATACTTTGAACAAAAATAAACCCCATAAACATAAGACTGAGCCAAATAGTTTGGTTAATATAACACATAATGTATCCCATTTTCGCAGGCTGTGAATTGGACAAGGACAAGGCCAAAAAAGGAAATGATTGACTTGAAATCCAGGATCAGCCAAATTGGAAAAAAAACCGTCAAACTGTCTGGATATGACTTCAGCCTTGGCTCCAGTCTAAATTTTACCTCAGACTGAAGCTAACATATGCCATTCCCTATGGCTCCAAGGCTTCCAGACAGGTACCTTGTGTGGACTTGGTGAGTCCAGGAATAAGTTCAAGACCAGTTTTTGAATCAAGGAACTAAATCTGATTCTTTTCACTTACACTGTGCCTTGGCCATCTCTTTTGTGTCTCCTGTTGCTCGGACAAAATTATCACCTGCAATTTTGGAACTGCAAAAGATACAATTGCACAAGCAATCTTTTTTACAATTTGCACAAATCTGCATATCTCGCATGATCATTGAACTTTTTTCTGGTTTCTGATTTCAGAACACTGAAAGTTAAAGTGTGATTTGGCCAAAACTTTCCAGGTGTATCCTGGACAAACTGCTGGTCAAAGAATTGAATTCTGAACATTTATTTAATATATGAATAGAATAAAAGAATTGATAACACGAGGGTCTACATGCACACCAGTGAATGTTACCATAATTAAGTTTATACAACATTGTAAAGTTAATTAAGCAAACGTTAGAAACCAGCAAACTACATGAAGATAAATCAAAGATCTATTCATCCTCATGACCCAATCACTGCCATTCTAATCCAGTTCCCCTCTGGTATACTTACTCTTCGGCACTCCGGTCTTTGAAAGGGTTTTCTCTCATGGAGCGGGTCTTGGGATCATAGTATGCTGAGTTGGGATCGAGGTTGTACAGATACTGCAAAGGGAAAATTAAAATACACAAATATGTTCAAGCTGAATACCGAGAAAACATTAACCTGTCATTCTTTCATTCACTATTATTAATTTTTTGCCATGTTGCTATGAGGTACTGTTCTCCCAAAGGGATTGACAGAAAAAACGTTGAAGAACTTGTGTAGCGATTGCAGTTTACTCCAACTACAAACCTGCCTCCAAATGCCAGGCATCACAGTTACTTTGACAGTTTGCTTTCATTCTCAAACATACTCATAAAAATATTCTACTCATAAAAATATTCTACTCCTAAAAATATTCTACTCAGAAAAATATTCTGACCAACCTGGACAACTACTAGAATGTTCATGCTGTAACAAAATTAGCAGAGACTTTTTGGGGTTAAGAGACCAACCTACCGAAGTTGATGATAGAAACATTAATTTGTGTAGAAAGCTAGAGTACATCATAGATATGAAGGCAAGAAATATGAGTTTGTAAGTACATGTACATAGCATCTACAACACATACCTTGGCAGTGTCTTCCCTGATTCTCAGGTTACGTACTGTGATACGCCTGTAAATAACAACAACAAAACAAACAAACAAATTCAGGTAAATACACGCACTCGTTCCTAGGTATTGATTTGGGTGGGTTCATTGAAAAAAAAAGGAAGCATTCTTTAATATAGACATGAACATAAATTTGTGGTATCAGTCAAGGGATGATGGGCTGAGCAAACTCACCTTTTGCTGTCAAAGTTGGTACCCGGCATGTCAACGTCATCAGCGTACTTGTCTTCATCTGCGTCACTGTTGTCACTATCTCTTTCCTAGTGTGACAAGCAAACTCAGGTCAACAATTTCAAAGGGTTTCCACACACATGAACTATTATGCAGAGAGGAGAGTTGGGCTGCACAAAATCACATAACCGCGTGAAGTCAGCATGAATGACCACTTACCAGTTTCTCAGTGGACAGTTCTCCTGATGCTAGGTCTTGAAGCTGTTTACCCTTCAGCTGTTTCTTAGCCTGGTGTAAAATAAACATACAAACAAAAAAATTAGTAAATTTAGCTATTTATGAGGTTTTTAAGAGTATGAAAGCTTCCCTCGGGTATAGCAGTGTTTTTGGCAGTTTCTGTTTGCAAAAATAAAGAAACCTGGAACGTTTTATTGAGGATTAATGAGATCGGCCTATTCTGTGGATAAGCACCTGTTACTAACTATGAGTTGACTTTTTTTTGCAACATTAGAACTTTACAGATTTGTGAAGACGCTTTAGGAGTCATGTAGACAATATTAAAAACATGCCTCTTCAATTTTGGCATATTCATCTAACACAGCTTCATATTCTTCAGGGTTGTAACCATTCCATCTGTCTCGCTTTCCATCGTAATCAAAATCCAGCTTGGGCTGCAAGTGTTCATCCGGTGCAAAGTTGTCTCCTGTGAACTTAGCTCCAACCTTACGGGGTCTCTGGAGAATAAGACAAAATTCATTTACACGTACACTGGATAAGTACACCTTCAACAGTAATGATTTCATTCACCTGTCTTTCACTCTTCATTCATATGACTGTCTTTACCTCAACGCAGTCTTTCTTCTTGTGCGTCATCGCTCCACAGTTTTCGCAGGCGCCTTTACGGAACTTGGTTGAAATGGAACCCTGTAACAAAATCCAAAATGTGGCATAAAGTCAATTTCGAATTCTGTGGCAGCACTTACAAAATTATAAAACACAAAAACAATCACAACAGACGCAAACTCTTATAAGTTGTTTATGGATAACTGCTTCACGCAGAGTTTAGTGAGATATTCAAAATCCTTTCAGTCCTGCCTCTAGGGACCCAACATACCTCACGTACTCCCTTTTTGTACCATGAGGCAATGTCAGAGTACTGCTTCTGTTTCTCTGCTTGAGGTCTCTGGTGCTTGAGAGTGGGCTGGCCGTACCCAACGTACCAAGGCACAGTAGAAATGTACTGGGGAATATGGGGGTTGATGTCTCTGAAAGAATGACACAAATTTTCATGTTAAACATTTAAAAGTTCCTTCTGTAGTTAATGGCTTAATGTTAGACAGACAAATTGAGAAAATAAGCCTTTCGGTTTGGCCTGATTGAGTGTATGAAACATCAGGCAACGTTGAAAGGACACCTCATTTTACTCTTTGCAATGTTTATAAAGGATATATATATACTCACTTTCCCTCTTCGTCAGTGAGCGCAGGGGCTGTTCCAGCTTTTCTAGCCTCTTCTAACTCCTTGGCTTTCCTCCAATCCTCCCTCTTGGACTGCTGGGATGGTTCCATGGAGGAGCTCACTGACGTAGCAGCTGCCGAGGGCAGCACTCCGGGACCTTGCATGGACATGTCTGAGCTGAGAGCTGTGTGGATGTGTAGAGACCCAGGTCCCACAGTTTATTATTCTTCTGTAAGGATGGATGCTGGCACCTGTGCCACCTTGGAAGAAATGATACGACAAAAAAGGAAAACATAAAGTTACTTGCAATGATCAAAGGTTTAGGACCAGTACGATGGATGTTGACATTGTGGTAATTTGGCCAAAATGTAACTTGACAATTACAGGTCTTTTTGTTTCTCTTCTCTTTTGGTATAGAACCCTGTGTTGGATACAAAAATATCATAATGCACATACATTTACATAATTTTCATTTGCATACAGATACCATTTTGGGGAAAGAGTTCCATATCTACGGACACCAGTAATTATTCCCTACTGGGACCTATTAGCCATCGAAAAGCAAATACATGTCAAGAAAAGTTCATGTTAGGAGGGAAAAGACCAAGTCGTTTTTACTTAGAAAACACTTAGAATGTTTGGACCAGTCTCATAGGGTTCATGCACAGGGTGTCAAGTGGCGTCTGCAAATGAGCTCTCTTTCCCTGTTAATTTTGTACATATGATATCATATTTTGTTGGCCCAGTATACATCACCTAGCATGCCTGGGTATGTTGTTAATTTTACGTTTGTGCATGCACACGTTGTAGGCCTAGGCCTATAATTTGTACAAGCCTTATCACAAATACCACATCGGTGATTTCGCACAATGGCAGAAAGGCATTGTGGGAAGGAAAAAGGAACAAACATTGAACCTTTTGCCTTCCCACAATGCCTTTCTACCATTATACAAAATCACTCATGCAGAGTTCAGGTACCACATGTATGTTACTTCCAAGTTCCAGAACTGTAAGGTTCATACACACGGATAGCCATGTACAAACTCTCGTAAACACTTTTTGGCTGTTTTGATTGTGACAACTTTCTCTTCCATCACAGCTATTTGTGCGACAAAACTTCATACATACATTATGCCTTCCTGGTGAAGTTAGATGTCACCCTATATTGCCATTAAAATGGTGAAATTCTTGGGCATTTTGCCCATCCACACTACAGAAAATCAGCAGCATCACTGGGCATGTACATGTACTCTCAATAACTTGTCAACTGTTTGACCAATTGACAGCTTGACCAATCGCAACATACTAGTTCCAAATTTCCTTTTGTTTTCCTATGACAGTGTCACCCACAAAGGTGAAAGCACACTACGACTAGTCCAATTTGCTTCCATTCCAATGACCAATCATAGCTCAGCTTTCATTTCATGGTAGCGGGGCAGACGTCGGCATATTCCTGGAGGTACAATGTTTCAGGATATAATTAGACATTCCAGGTACAAACCTATGGGAATTGTGTCGAGATATATCAGACAGGCCTACCTCCATGTCTGTAAAAACATTGACAAACCATGGTCCAACATGTCCAATATCACTGACTTAGCTTTACCTAGCCCCACTAGTGTGGCACTGACTCTCACTCCCGATTTATCCTTAAATCGGGAGTGAGAGTCCGTGCCACACTAGTGGGGCTAAGCTTTACCATGGAGGTTACTGTCATTATTTTCACAGGACCTACCATTGCCTACAGATCAGATACATGTACATCGACAGCTTTACCTTGATATCTGTCTCAAAAAAAGCAACTTAAATGCTGATTTCCTTACCTTTTAGGAGCAACACATAACACACGTAACAAGATGTCACAAACGTGTGGAAAACGCAATACATGTAGATTCAGTCGTTTCCCCTAACTTTAAACTCCAGGATTCCAGGGCATTCAAGAAAACAACGAATTTCCCCCGACTATCGGCGCTATATATAGAGGATGTTGATGACGTTATACGACTGTTCAAAATAGGTTTTTAAAATATACAAAACAGCCGCCTGCCTTATATTTCGACAAGGATCTAGTGTTCGTCTACCTTGTGGAAAATAGAGCGGTGAAGACTGCATATTGAGCCGTCTACCAGACTATATTAGAATTTTCTGCTGTGTACTTTTTGGGATAGTGCGCGCATTGATTATTGTACCACTCTCCTGATCGCCTACACATTCTGTTACAAATGTGTTACATGTATTTCAAAATAAGATTGTACGCGATGGACCAAAAACCACTGTACTGAAACTTAAAAGAGCATCCATGTTGGCCTAGTTTGGTCGATTTTAATGCCAAATTTAATGAAACGAATGAATACCTTTGAGTTTGACCTAATGTGTAATCATTAGTTCGTGAGTCATCGAAGATTGTATTTATCATTTTACTGTGACACTAGCAGACTAGTCATACTTTGCGAAGGCAAACAGACCAACTTACTTCCTATTTGTATGCGTTTGTCAACATCATGGGTCTCTTTGGAAAAACACCACAAAAGGATCCCAAAGAACAGGTAGGCCTAGGCCGAAATGTTACTTTTTACTAGTACATGTAGTAGGCCCTAATAGTATTACTTGATGACAGTCAAGTAAGTTAACATTTGGACATGGTTGGCCTACTAATCGCCTGACCAAGTCCAAATGTTAGAGGAGGCGATTCATAAGGTCCCAGTTGGACTTCAGACATAGCAGAAGTTAACCTATAAAAAACAAGATAGACACTAAGTTCTTAAGGGAGATTTCTGTTCCATGTCTGAATTCTTTTTTAAACATGTACTTAAAGTTTAATGATGAGCGGGACAGTTGACGAGTGGGATTGCTTGATCTTTGTGCAATCAGTGTTAGCCTTATTGCATGATTTGCTGAGAATTCTGCCATTAACCATTCATCTTTCTTTCTTCTCTACATCTGTGGATGATTGTTTTGAAGAAGGAAGTAAAGTCAGAGATTTCATATTAATAGTGCAACACGGTCATGAAATTATGCTGATTGCATGATCGCACCCAACATATGCAGCTTGTAATGCTTGATCTGTTGTTGTCCTTTACCTGAACAGGTTCAAGAATGGACAAGGTCTTTGAACAGAGAGACAAGAAAACTGGACAGACAAATCCGATGTGAGTGGAGACCAGGATTGCAACTGACCCACACGCACAGATTGTTCATGAAATGAAAACCTGGACAGGACACTGTTGTTTATGTGCTTTTTTGTTCTTTTTGGCATTTAGAGATTTCAGTAACTTGTTTTGGTCTGCACAAGGCATAAATTGCAGGAAATATTATATTCATCATTTTGTTGAAGCCTATAAAAAATTCATATCAGTCTTTCAAAACAGGTGCATTGAGGTACATTGATGGTTTTCTTGTTTCTTTTGCAGCCATTGAAAGGGAAGAGATGAAAGTGAAAAGGTCATTGAAAGATGCTGCGAAGAAGGGTGAAAAGGATGTTTGTAAGATCCTGGCCAAGGAAATCGTCAACTCTAGGAAAGCCGTCAAAAGGATCCATACTTCAAAGGCGCAGATCAACTCAGTCAGCATGCAGATGAAGAACCAGCTGGGTGAGTGGGGGACTTGTATTAGGCAAAAAAAAAATTTAAAAGACTTGTGCTTCCGGTGTCTTGACTGACCCTAATTTTTCAGCGTAACCCTAAAATTTTTACTGGCAAGTTAGAAAAACAAATAAAAAAGATTTTAAACTATAAAAATAATAACTCCTGTTGTCTTTTCTGTCTTCACAAAACACCTCTACCTTTTTTCATGTTAAAATGCTTGTTTTTATATGTTTTCCTTCATAAATTTGCAAATTTTGAATGCAAAAGAATGCTTGATTGAAATGTGGCAACCAGTCTATTCGTCCCAGTCGAAATAAATTTGTTACATTGGCACATTTAATACATGTACGCAACGCTACACCTGCAGGTCCCCAAAAAACATCGATATTGCAAGAAGATTTTTGCAAGTTAATTCACAGAACTCGGTCTCTTGTTTGTAGGTGTATATATTTTCTGTGTTCACAAGTTTAGTTTGACGTTTCTTTGCTCTTACATATTCTTGATGTGTATGTGTTTCCACAAAATTTCCTGCTGCGGCACGAGGTTTATCCCCCGCCCATCTGGATGCATCATGCATGCCTACTACACTATACACAGACATCGTTGACCAGTTAGCCTTCGTGATTACCTGACTAGCGTTGTGCATTGTGATGTGAATTGTCCATCATTCTCATAAATTATGGATTGAAGAAATGTTTACATAGATTAAAGCAAGTTTTATCACTTTTGTAATTATTTGTGGAAGCTTTCGTTCCCACTTATTGCCATTCAATCAGCACAAAACAAAACAAAAAAATTTCTGGCCTACCCACCCTAGTTTTCAGAGGCATGTAATCTGAAGCAGAAGTATTTTTTTCTTGGGCTCAGTTTTGTGCATGAGTGATTGAGGGGACATCATTTCTCAAGGAAACCATCCAAAGTGTTTGACCTTTTATCAAGGTGAATAGCGCTGGTGACATTCCTCATTTTTATTTCCCACTGATTGTCAACTCTTTCTGTAGCCCTGATCAGAATGTCTGGTGCCCTACAGAAGAGCACCGACGTCATGAAGATCATGTCGCAGCTGTGCCGGGTCCAAGAAGTGCAGGCCACGATGATGGAGATGTCCAAGGAGATGATGAAGGCGGGCATCATCGAGGAGATGGTGGAGGACACCTTTGAGTCCCTGGAGGATGACGAGATGGAGGAGGCCACTGAGCAGGAGGTGGAGAAGATTCTGTTTGAAATTACGGCAGGTAAGTTGATGGAGACTAGACCGCATCCCAGGGTTGTAGCTATGCCGGGCAGCGGTGGGTAGGTCTGCCCAACTTTCACAATCTCCGCTCAGCACTTGGGATAATTTTCAGCCTTACCACCCAGCACATATTTTATTCCCTGAGTTGGTAAAATTCTAAAAAATCAAAAAATTTCTGATGTATGTTCCTATCCTTAGCAATTATAAGATATTTCTGTTGAATTCCTTGTTTCAAACCATAAAAACACTGAAGTAAGCTTAAAATTACGCACCAATCCAGGCCTTAAAATGAACGACAGTGGCCGTATGACCCCCATATTCCCAACACGTGAGGCTGGCTTTGCATGTAGTACTCCCCGAACTCTACACATATAGTACACACGCACATTGCATGGGGTGTGTACACATCGGACGTGTACATACACAAAAGTGAGTTAGTTTTTGAAGCTGATTCTGCTAGTAAAGTTCTCGTAGGACAGCTTCTTATGTCGTACCTAGATGCGATAGTATATATATGTCATATCGTAGCTTACCCTTTGTTGTCACTTAGTCACCCAGGTCAATCATATTGCCCTTCGGTCAGATCTACTCTGAAACAACATACTTCATTCTGTATTTGTCTGTTTATCAAGGTCACCTGGTTGATGCCCCCAAAGCCGTAAATGATGACCTTCCAGTGGCTGGAGCAACGGCCATCTCAGATGAAGAACCAGAAGAGGATATCTCTGAGATGCAGGCCAGACTGGAAGCACTCCGGAGCTAGGATGGTGAATCTGTGTCAGTTTGATACATCCATATCTTGTGTAAATATGACAAAAGTAGTCAGGAGTTTTGCTACTTTTATCTGCTCTACAAGACAATAGCATGCGTAGAATTAAGAAAGCATGTGTGATAACAAGATGGAGTCCTTGGTCTTTAGGATTTCGACGTCAAGTACTTAGCAAAGTTGGTCATTTCCAAACTTACTTAGGACCCCAAAATCTGCTGGCTGGAAGGAATAGGTATGTGTTGGAGATGTATACATGAATTTCGCTTTTAAAGTAGCTTTGTAAAATTCTGAGCATATGAGTAAAAAGGTGTTCATAAAATTTTGATTTTTTTTAGGCAAGGTACACAAATTGGGAATTGCTTCTTCACGAAAATGCCTATCTAGTGACTTCAAATCCATTTAATTGTGTACACTGCATTGTGGAGTGTAAGACATGGTTAGCATATTCTTTTAGATTCAAAATGTCTGGTATGACTTCATTTGATTGTGGAGTAACCAGACTACATGTAAACGAACAGATGGGCACTCTTAAACAATTCTTAACATTAATTGTTAAATAGTGTCAAAAAATTCTGTACAGGTTTACTGATTCAGTAGGCAAAGATAAATAAGCTACACTTCTCAAAAAAAGTATCATTGGCAGCTCTCATTTTTTTATTGTTTTTCTTTAGGGGGGAGAGACAGTTTCTTTTTTTTCTGTGTAGCCTGGTATGGTTTTGTGCCAAAAGTTTGAATCCTCCAAAAGCAACCCCATGCAAAAGAGACATCAGCGTTAATCAGTCAATGGAAGTTTTCAATTTTCAACTTGACACTGAAAACTCAAAGATTTCCATAGACATCCTGCTTTAACTTGATTGCCAACCTGGTGGCTGTTAGACATGGTACTAGGAACATATGAAATTCTGTTGCTTACTCTCTTTGAGTGCTTTACAAAGGGGAACTGGAGTGGACCTGTGACATGATGACATCGCACTTTGTTTATGGCAGTGAGGTGGGACACGATACATCGTGTCCCTATGGGAAAGTATGTAAACAAAGCGTGACATCGTTATGCTTTAAGTCTATTGATAACTTAATCCCAATAAGCAGTGATGTACTTCTTACTTCATACCCCAATTCCAGTGCCTTAGTAATTGCTAATTTGTTTTGTATAGTGAAACATGGAGTAACTGCATCTCCCTCCTCTAATGTCTTAGCACAGCACACTAATAAACACTGTATTACATTTGGTAATCTGTTACATAAGGGTTTGTTGCCATCTGATGGCTTCAAGATTTTCTGTCTAGTATGGAGACTGTGTCATTCAGGTCCCACACAGTCTTAGCATGTGGCAGATTCACGAAGTTCCTAGTAACTAGCCAAAAAGCCAAGGCTTAGGGTCTAGAACACGTTCTAGAGAGGTACATGTACATGTAGTTGAAATTCACTTCTGAAGCTTGAACTTTAAAAAATTGTTTTGTATACATTTTGAGAAGTAAGTTCATTTGGGACAGAGATGTAAGGAGGCGACATAATAATGGTTCAATGTCTTCATCTTTCTTTGCATTTATCTTGACAAGAAAACCCTCTCCAACTCTATCTGTGTCTGATTGGAGTGATCAATTTTTAGAGTTTGTATATACGTGTAATTAAAAATGAATAACTTTACAATTAGAACTAATTGATATTCGGATAACATTAGGCCAAGCGCACAGACTTTAACAAATGATTTTACATGCCACAACTATCAGAGCATGGGCCCATGAGATGTACAGGTCTAATTCTTCTCAGATTACCTTCTTCCTGCTGGGTAACATTTGCCACTTTTTTGATTGTAAGTTGATTGAGAGTGGGCACCAGATCAGATAATTGGTAATCTTTTCTGAAATTGTACTGCTTACAGGTACATTATATAGTTTCTACAGTGCTCTGAAAAAAGAAGGGGAAGATATTGTACATTGGCAGATACATGTATGACAACCCGTTTAATGTAAACACTGAGAGCTATTGTACTGCATCAATGATGTCATAGGCTTTGCATCCAATCAAGAATGTCAACATTAATTTCCTGGTTGAGTGCCCTTCGGTCAGTTTGTGTGTCGTGAGGGTCAGCTGTGTTTCCTAGTAATTGTAAATATTTGCTTTATCGCGAGGTTTTGTTGACATCCAGTTTACGTAGCAAGTATTCATCTCATTGATTTTTTTTTCAACAATGGAATTCCCTTAGACTCTGCTCGAGACATCTTCACAAAACACTGGATAGCTAGCTGTGGAATACTCATCGTTGATATCCTATTTGGACACCTTTGAAACACAGTTCAATACATTTCAAGAGCTCTATTTTATATTTAAAAGTATTTATAGACAACAATTGACAAAAGACAAACCTGTGCATTGGGAACCAATCAGGCAAGCTCAAGTCTTAGAATTGAATCATCAAATTTAATGAAGTTGTAAGAGGGAATTTCGCATTTCATTGCTTTACTTTTGTGTTGTTAATTCTTTTAAATTTCAAATAAAATAAAATTTATTACCAAAAAGGAGACTTGTGACAACCTGGTCATAAATGCACGTATAATATTTTTCTCTTTGATAATAATTTATTTGGCTTATATTAATTTTCTGATGGAATCATATGTACATCGTGATGTAAAAATATTCAATAAACCATTAAATGCACGTCAAGCAGAACTTAAAAAAGCATTCATAACTACAGTGCAGAAGAGTACAGACGAAGAATGTGAAAATTTACATATTTTTGATCAATTTTTCTGATTTTGTCATACTTGAACTTTAATAATGATGCCTTTACAGAAAGAATTGCTTGGTTTCATAATTTACTGGAGTGGTTCATGTGACACAAATTGGTAAAACAAATGATTACATAATCAATTATCAACTTTATTGATTAATTACAGATTACTGACAGAGCTACTGCAAAGGTCAGTTGACACTAACCAGATTTCTTTTTTACACTTAAGTGGTTCTGTACTAATTCTCAATTCCGTATCCTTAAATTTCATGCAATTCTCAACTGCATGAAGATTTAAGGATACACTCATAGTATAAAGATTATTTGATACAAAGGTGTCAGTTGTGGATTTCTTGGAACTGAGTGCAAGGTTTGACGGGTTTAAAGGTTTAGTAGGAAATTGTGCTTTGAAGACATTGCCAGGAAATTGATAGCTTTGTTTATGCACTCATTATTTGGCTGGTCCTAGCCACGGAGATGGATTGGTAGCTCAAAATACACTCTGAGGTGCTGTGGTATTAAAGCTTCAACTGAGGTTATGTTCAAAATGGCTGAGAATCAGCTAGAAGTGTTTTGCTGATTTGACTCGACGGCATTCACTGATGAATCTATCAAAGTGGAGGAAATTTCATTCATCAATTGCGGGAGTGGTATGGTGTATGAGAAAATGGAGTCATGGCACTTTGTCTCTGTTTCAGGCTCCTTGCTTTGGACAGTGACGTCGGGCATGCTGGGAACATTTGGCAAGCTGTCAGGATCTTCTTGAAGACTCCCGAGGTGAAGGTGGTGCTGTTGCTGCCTGCTGGGTTTTCTGACAATGTCCCCATTCGGTGTCTGCACGATGTCCCCGCTCTCAGTCCTGACGAAACAGCCCTCTTCCACGACCAAGTCGGCACTCGTCGACACAATGTCATTTGGCTTGGTGATGAGCACACCATTTTTGGAGCTTCTGTTGTCTTCTAGCTTCAGGTCCTCAGTCCCACTTTCTGTGCTCGGGTCAGCCGCTCCTGATGGGAAACCATCACTTGTGCTGGTGTGATCAGTCCTGTTGGTGCTGCCACTGGTTTTGGCTTTGGCATCACCTGTTTTGGCCATGATGTGACCACTTTTACTTTTGATGTTGTTGCTACCCTGTGTTTTACCTGCATTGGAATGTTTGATTTTGGTAGGGGTTTGGGGTGACTCTATCATTGTGACATGTTTGCTGAGTTGTGAGACACTGCGACTGGAGTTGCTGTTTCCTTTCCGGCATCTCCTTGGTGATGAGGATGGTGATGATCCCTCTGAGCCAAAACCGGAAGGGATTTCCTGAAGCACTCTAGTGGCTATCAGTGAGTCATTGATGAAATCTTGGGGGTCGGTGTTGTTGGGTGGTGATAGCAGACTATCTTCACTGATGACTGTGTCTGTAGATCTGATGGAAAACATTCACAACAACTTTGACGCATTAAATGCCAAACTATTTTAAGGATTTCCACATCACATTACTAGTTGTAACCATAAGACAAATTCGACAACTGTCGTTTCTAAGACAAAATATGTATGTTTTTCTTTGCTCAATTAGAAATTTTCAAAAGTGGAACATATAAGTGCTTGCTTTGTGAGGTTGTTTGTTGGTGTGTGTTTGTTTTAAATGTTTTTTTTTTAATTTCAGAATGTCCCTTAAATTTCTTTTTTCACAAGTCTTTCCCCACATACAGGAAAGAAGAAATACACTTGTTAATGCACAGAGGTTGGTCATGATCAATTGTAATCGGCCTTAATTGTAGTAACTTAGATTTGACTCACATTTTCTTGACAGAGCTGTTCTGCAAAGCATCCTGTAGTTGAAGGGTACTACTCTGTTCATCCGTTCCCAGTAACCAGAATGTTGTCATAACTCCTTTGCCCTGTATGACGAAGGGAAATGCTGCATGAAAGGTCAAATTTTCACTCAGCTTACGGAAACTTGGAAAAAGTTTTCAGAAAAGTTGCCTACTAGGTTTCAAGTTTTGACAGAATTCAGTAATTTCATGGCGCTACTTTAATGTTGTAACTGTAGGAGAAACTGTGCTGAATCTAACAGCTTCACCGGGATACCGGGCAAGATATTGGATGGAGGGGTACTCCCCAAACATTTCCAAACCCTGTAGACACTCTAGACTATTGTTACTTAACACATCCTCCTTGGTTGTCTGAAAAGAATTCCTGAGATTCCGGTCAAACAATGACATACACAAGGGGGGGGGCTCTCTCTGTCCCACATCTTGCTTTGAATGTTCACCAGTATGCCATAGACTCGTGCCTTTCCAGCTGTAGTGAAGTACCTCAGATGTGGCCATCATACCTTGACTCTTAGCTGACCCCTGACCTCCAGCCGGTACCCACCGATACTGGTAAGCAGGGCAGCTGTGCTCCAGCTGACGTGGATGCGCTGTGGCAAGCCATGGGATTCCATGCGAGATGCAGTGTTGACGGTGTCTCCGAAGAGACAAAACCTAGGCATTGTGAGTCCCACTACACCAGCAGCTACGGGCCCTATGGAGACATAAAGGGAGAATTACTTTAACGTCTTTCACTTCAGACGTGATTGTAGTTTTTAAAAGTTAAGAAAAACAAAAATTTTTGGTCAAGCAAATTATAGACTAATACCTAGCCTAAGAAATCAAATTAACTTGTAGTTCATTCAGGTCTTTGTTTTGGTTATGCTTATTTCATTCTTATAACTGAATACCAGTATTCTAAAAATTCTACGAAAGTCTTGTACGTGTATACGTTTCAACACGTTCCTTGAAATGCTCCATATGAAAATAGTGTCATTTTGCAAACGCCATCATACTATTCATCTTCAACGTTCATTTGTCTGTTTTCTCTCTTGGAGCAGGATTCATTTCAGCTCTTTTAGACCAATACCTGAGTTGATTCCGATTCTGATCTGTACTTGATGTTCGGGCATGTGCCTCACCCGAAATGTCTTCACCCCTTCCCTGACAGCCAGTGCCATGCTGGCAATCTCGGAGGCATGTCGGTTACCATTGCGGTTAGGCAGACCGCTCGCCACCATGTAGGCATCTCCTATAGTCTCAACCTAAGAGCATCAAGATCACGAAATATGCAGCTTCAGGACCATGTATATTTTCTTCCCCATGAATTCCTAAACTTATGGTGAGTTTCCAACTCAATATTGAGCTAACTAAGGCTACATCTGAATGTGTTGTTTAGAACTAGGTCTAGTAGGTCTTAACTCCATTGGAAATACGTGGCGGTGTGCAGACAATAGACCTAGCCGTAGCTCTGTTTCGGACTCGTTTTGGCCTAAGCTCACCTTGTATACATCAAATCTTTCCAAGATGGCGTCAAAACAGGTGTAAAGATCATTTAGAAGGTCAACAACCTCCATAGGTGCACTCATTGCAGACAGCTCAGTGAACCCGACGATATCGCTGAAGTAGAGGGTCACCTGATCATAAAATTCCCCATGAAATGACTGGCCTTTCTTCAACTCATCTGCAACAGCCCTGAAAAAAGAACAACAAATATATTGGGATGAAGTTCTGGTTCACATTCCTAAGGATATCAATCCTAAATCTTTAAAATGGAAGTTTAGACTTACTGAGGTAGCATTCTGTATAAAAGAGCATCTGTCTTCTTTTTCTCTTCAAGCAGTTGACCTGTTCTGTCAGCTACCACTTTCTCAAGGTTCTCTGTGTATTTCTCCATTTTGGAAACCATGTTGTCCATCAGGTTCAACTCTTTCCTGCACAGTCAAAAAGGAAATCATTTATTACTTTCAACAGTTGGTGACATTTCCTGTTTACATCTAGAAGTTTTTTGCTTAGAGCTCCACCAAGTTCAAGCTTTAAAGGCGCTAAGAAAATAATGTCATACTGCCAGGATTAATGTCAGGTGTATGGAGGTGTTTTGCTTAGGTTATGACATCAATCAGGAATTGTCAGGTCATTCTCAACCCTGTTGATGAGCCCTTCTTGCACCCTACCTTCCTTTCTGCACTGCCCTGAGCCGGTGTCTGATGACGTTGAAGTCGGGTCGATCTTCGGGATGTTCCGCCCAGCACTGCATCATGAGCTCTGTCAGGCAAGTCAGGACACCGTCAGACTGCGAGAACTGAGTTGAAAGACCGGTCAGGTCGTCCTCGGAGGCCGCCTGGCGAGGCCGGAACGGAGGCTCCTGCCGTGTCATTACCTTGCGGACGATTTCTTCGGTGAAAATGTCAAATTCCAGTGTTATTTGCTTTCTACCTTAAAAAAATCTGAATGGTTGAATAGGAAAGTGGGGAAATACTTCAAATAGGTCTATTCACATGTTGAAATCAGACCATGTTTGAATACACAAACGCGAATTGATGAAAAATGACATAAACATGGTGTGGGCACCTTGCTCATATTTTCCCCCCACAACTAACCTCTGGATGACAGTCCATAATCATGATACGGTAAGGATCTGGTGAGAATTTCTTCAACGAGGATACCGAAGGAGTAAACATCTCCCTTCTGGGACCCCTTGGTTGGAAGTTCGTGTCGGAGCAGCTCAGGGGATGTCCAAAGTAGCTCTAGAGAATGAAAAAAAGTTGATGTACTTCAGGAAGAAACGCTAAATTCTCCTGTAGATATACTAGAAAATGTGATGTGGAGATGTTCTCCGACCGTCGAACATCCTCGGGCCGAAATGGTTTTATGGGGATAGAGATCGTTGAGAGATATATCGAGAGATATATTAAATATTAAAATCTTTCATTAAACGAAGGCTAGAAAGTAACTGTTCATGCTATTGTCATTGGCAAAATGAAATGCATTTTGTGCGCAAGATTACGTAAACGGAAACCCATTTACCGGGCATTTCGATTGTAATCACTGAAATTTGTATTCTGAATATATTGGGCACACAATCAGCCTTTCGTTTACGTCATACATTTTTGTGCTAAAATTTAACTGGAAGTTCTTCTCTAACAAGTCTGGGGAAAGCGACGTTTGTACAGGTACCAAAAATAGGTAACTAAGACGAGGGAGGAAAATGTATACCAACATGGTGGATGTAATTTCGCTGTTGCCGCCGGCAAATCAACGGTGAGAGTTAGATTTCGTAAGAAAAAATTGCTTGTTCCTACGTCCTTCTACGCCCCAGGATAACGGACGGTGGAAACAAGTGATTCCACTGATAAGCCATGTAGCTATTTTTACAAGAAGAATTGGAAACGGCTGAAAAAGTGGAGCGGTATAGCCACAACAAGGTAAAATCAGAAATAGGAACGAAAATTTACTTTCGGTAAAACCCGTATTTTTACGTGAATCATTGGCGATATGCTCTCTTACCACTCAGAAGTCTGCTATAACTGAAAAAAATTATAGTTGCGTAAATTACATACAATATCAATTGTAATAATTTATTTGTGAATGAAACCTGTGAGACGATTCAAGGTCTGTATCAACACCCTGAGCTTGTCAGGTGACAATAAATACCTCCCATACGTGTATGAACGGAATTAATTCGTCCGGATGTTGAGATAGCAGTTGTGGAGGCATTATTATTGATACAGAAAATACTTGACAAGAAAGACTTGACAGACGGAGAATAAATATGCGGATGAATATAGCCTACCCCTCCCCCGTGTCCACTCCATGAAAGTTTTCGTGTCCCTTTTCCAATCTGATTTCAGTCCAATTCTTACTACCCTTTTCATTTACTGATGTAGTATACCCGCTGGCTATTCTATTTGGTCCGATGAGATTTATTTCTTATTCTTATTTGCTCATTTTTTTATCCCGTCGTGTCCGATAATTATCCAGTCTCGTTTTTCCTTCCCAGACAAGATTCCATTCCATCCATTGCATCACTTAACTTACAGTCGAACCCTGTTAACATAATTATTTATAATACAAATTCTGCTTACTATAACAAGGAACTTAATAGGTTCCAATAATCCTTTGTTTTTCATTGATTTCATTTCTCATAATACGAGGTTCCTGGTACAAAGATAATTTGCAAAGCCAGAAGGACCTACATATTTATAAGGTTAGGCAGTCCAGTCCTCCATGGAGCCTCTATCCTCTGCACTGTTTAAAAATGTCAATCTGATATCGAATGAAATCCGATCCAAATGCAACCGCTGGGACCTTTCTACTAAATACAGTATTAACTTTTGTGGTCTTGTGATCTAATTTCATCCTATCCGTATCCTACCGATCTGCAACAACAATCAACATCAACAACAAGCCCCATAGAAAAACAAGTGCCACAGCGGCTGATCCACATGATTTATGACAATATTCCTTTCCGGCGCAACCAGCTATTTTTAAACCACTAACTTGGAAATATTGGCAAGACTGTTTGGATGGGGCCATTTGCGGTTGGATTCATATTTGATGGAGACAGGTTGGTCAAACGGACCATCTTTTTGGCGCTATGACAATTTTTTATTTAAAATTAAGTTTATGCAGACAAATTGAAAGATTTTGTGATGTGAGTTTAGTTACGTCTGTCTTAAAGCTTTCTGTATTGATGTTAAGATCTATCGTTTTAGCATCTTCACATTATGATGATTGTATTCCTTGAGTTTTTAAAGTTACCAGAAGTCCTTGAGGCATGGTTTACTACCTGCCGTCGTGGTATCCTTTACAAAATTGATTTATTCTTTTTTGAAAGGAAAGAAAGAAACTGACACGCTAGACAGAGGCAACTAGACTGGGGAAACGTATTACCATAGCTCGAAAGGTCATAGATGAATAAGATATTCATGGGAAATGCAAGGACTCAGTATTTTCTTCACACACTGTCTATCTCACAATACGTGCTTCTTAAGGTCGTGTGGGTTATACCTTTGGAAATAACGACTCTGGACATGATTTGTTCGATCAGCCGGTGGTAATGCAATTGCTACTTGGTCATTCTGTTTTCCCAATGGAATAGCGTCAAGTAGTTCCAGGGAGCTGCCCTAATTTGAGTGTAGCGTATTTTATAAAACATTGAAAACAACACAAACGAGCAAAAATTGTGGATCTGTTGGGCAGGTTCAGGGTGAATGATGAATGTCAAATGCTAAAAAAATAAGAATGAAAACACGTTACAAAGTCCACAAATACTTGCCTTCCGCGTCATTAAACGGTCGGTCTGAAAAGTCATTGACCGCAGACCAATTTCAACCCGGTACCTGTCACCGTTTTCATAACTCTTGTCCAGATAGAATGCAAACATAAGGTTGGACTTACAGTACAATACCGATGAAAAAAGATACACTTTGGGAAATGAGTGATCTTACTCGAGAATCTCACTTCCGGATCGGAAATTTTTTCGCCGGTCCCTCTAGACATGTGGAAGGAGACGGTACCGAACCCTGCGATCTTCAGCGCCCAGCGGCTGTCGATAAAACAGAGATTGGAGCACAGCAGGCCGTGGGACCTTACCACAGAGTTGTGGAGAAATTGCATACCCTTCAAATAAAAAAGATATTGATCTAGTCATTATTTTTCCCCCGCATCCAGAAATGGAAATGGAATAGAAAGCTGAATTAGAAGGTCTACCAAGAAAATCACAAACTTGGTGTACACGTAATACATCGTATAGACTCAAATGGCCAAGTAATCTGTAAAGAATCTCCGGACTGAGACTAAATTTGGTAGCTTCCTCTGCTGGAGGATTTCTTCAGGTAAACCTCATCTATAAGGAGTTTGGTCAAACCGAAAGAAAGGGATTGGGACGTTTATTTTCTGAACAACAGTCTTGGGAAAATTCCGAACGTATGAAACGTTCCTGGCTCGGGAAGGTGTGTTGTCGTAAGCACTACAGGCAGCGGCTTTCATCCATACCCTTGCTAGATCGTTGATAAATGACACTTTGAAGCTCAGATCTAGCTTGATATCATCATTGGCTAAGACATTCTTCAAGTTTCCTTTCGAGCAGTACTCAGAAATGTAGTAGAACAGGTTGTTGTCGCCCCTGGTAGGGAAGCACACACCCACAAAACGGTTGAGATTGTCGTGAACAAGCCATCTCATCTACGACATAAAACACAACTCAAAAGTTAAGAATTTGATAGGGCATGTTGAGCAACGTGTAGATTTTTCTAAAGAAGCATTTGATATGAAGGGCAAGTTGAGCAACGTGTAGATTTTTCTGAAGAAGCATTTGATATGCTCTGTCTTAAAACCGCCGTTTTCGTTTTTTCGAACCTCCGTTATTCCTGTGTTTTCACACGAAATCATTAATTTATATTGAAAATTCAAAGCTTTCTTCTTCAACGCCACGTTTATTGAAACCATCCAGGAACTATATTTAAGCATGCCTTTCTTCAGACAGTGCATTTGATTTCGACGTTACATTCTGTTTTCACAATTCATTTGAAAGGGTTGCATGGTACGACCGTTCTAGGAAGCCTTTCAAACTCGTGGTGGCAGCAGACATGAAGGCTTTTCAACCCCTCTGGGAAAAGACAACCTCTTTAGCGCTTTTATAAGAGGTATGGCCGAAAGCTGCAGACTGTTAAGGACGAGAAAGTGTGCCAAAGACACTCGCTTGCGCCCATGAACCGATGGTATGCCAAGACTGATTTTAAAGGGTATCTAACCCAGATGGTCATGCGACAAATTTCCAACGATGTTCGACGACAGTGAGTCTTTTTCTATTTTAATTACTGGTTTTGCCCTTACTCGACGTACAACTTTACTGATAAACACTGTACACCCAGTGCGTGTCCAAGAGCTTGCAAATAATTCACAAACTCACTCGGGTGGGATTCGCAGGCTCTCGGACATGCACTGAGTATACACTGTTTACGTCGGATAAAACACGTAATTAAAAATAAATGTCCTCCCGACGCAAAGTACATCTTGAAACAGTGAGTCTTGATGTGTAGCCGTAATGCTGACGTCATTAAGCTGTTCCTATACTGATTGCCAGTCGAATAGTTATAAATAAAACCCTTTCTACATCAAATGCAAGATGACTTATTTGCAGGTTGCCCCTGGTCTTAGTTGACACCGAATATTCAAGAGAACAGCAGCTAGGGTGCAGACTATCTTCTGTGCTCCTTCGAAAGCACATGCGCAACCCTAAAGACTTTGGAGGCTAAACACACTTGTCCAATGAAGATCGCACAACTTTGATCATTTTGGCGCAGTCACCTGCTTGAGCTTTACCTCCTTGAGCTCCTTCTTGGTGGCCTTGTTGAGCGTCAGGCCATTGCTGACCTTTGCCCTTCTCAGCACCACTGTCTCTGACTTGTATTTAGCCAGGGAGAGGTCTGGTGCCATCTTCTGGCTCTGCTTGCGGAGGTTCTCCTGGACAGTCTCAGAGGCCAGTGACTGGCGACTCAAGAGTCTCTCGGAGATATTTGGCAGACGGTAAGTAGAAGGATACCCCTGGAGTCCGACCTGAATTTTTTTACAAGAAATGAACGCGTAATTGGAAGGATGCCGTTACAAATACCCTCAGCAAGGTTTAAAATCAAACCCATACATGAAATGTAATCACCAAACGTCTTTACCCCAAATGTGCTGTTCTGAAGAGGAAGAAATGTCAGCTCATCAATTTCTATCAGCCAGTCCTTACGAAGGATGTACTTTCTGTATTTAAGACTGTAAACGATAAAATGATTCGAGGAAATGTGAGACTTGAGTAGGCTTATCTTTAGGCTGGAAGGGAGAAAAATTGTTAGAAAATGTTTTAATATTGTAAGTTTACCTTAACTGAACAAATATGTAGCTGAATAAAACAAGAAACCGTATACACTCGTAGATCTTTACCCTAGGATGCATATCTTACAAATGATGTACATGTACTTGCTATAATGCTTAAACATCCAACCATTTCAGTAATTTGCGAGTCCATAGTTTACAATATAACAACAAGGGACGCTCAGATTGATAGAGACAACCTCATGAATCACAGCTTCATGGCATAAACACCGGCTACTCGGAGCAATTTGTTGGATAATTGTCTTATTTCTGGGCAGAGGATAACTCGGCACTCTCTGTAGACTAGTGGTCTACGCACGTTAGAGATGAAGTTCCGCGAATTTGCCCCTGGCGATGAGGATTCCTTGGAGCAATGAATGATCGGAAATAAGTAGTAGATGAACTAAAATCAAGCAGGGCTTGTAAGGCACTATGCATCTCATGTATGTTAAAGGCTTGTAGAATGCTCATATAGATGCCAGTAAATTACTGAATTCGGAAAGTGCCCCTGACAAATTTTGCATCCATTTGCAGAAAAAATGCAGTCAGCAATGCAGATGAAAATTACATTCCTCTTATAGAGAAACTTGATACACGTTTTAACTTTTTATGATAACTTAATGCAGCATTACGTGCATTTCCTTTTTGTCTCATTATGTGCGGACGTTTCAGGGGGGGGCAACCTGAGTTTGAATGGAAAATGTACCAACAAATTTAAATTGCAGCTTTTGTACAGTACGAGACTGCGTCATTTTCTTACACGTAACCTTTGCCTTCCGCCTCTCGGTTGCATATTTTTATTGCAGTTTTATAAATTATGATGTGAAAAGCTCTTTTAAAAAGTATTTAGAGTTTCACTGATCCATCCGTGTCGTTTGGCCCTTTCTTGACGTCACCAAGATGTCTCGGGAAAACCTCTGGCCTTCAGAAGGCGTCAGAGGAGTAACACACTCTTTGGTCTTTCTTAATAGTTATGGCAATTAAATTGATGAGCGACCCTTCTGGAAAGCTCGCTGATCTTCAACGTCAGCAATTCTAAAGCCTGGTAACTATTCATGTACATATTTAAGACCTTTTGATGATCTGAACGGATGTTTTTCTAACCTCCATTTTACGATAGTTCCCATAGGGAGCGAATTCCATTTCTTCGAGATGATCTCTGCATGCCATTTTTTTAATCTGAGACACCAACTTTGTTTTTTTTTTCTTACGGTCGCTCCTTGGGGTATTGACCCATTTCGTTTGCTCATCCCATCAATTACCACCAACAGGGTGGAACCAAATAATTTAATCATTTGTGTAGACCCAAACTATTGCTGTGCGTAATATTAGAGATAAGTCAATATAGGCAGTTGGTCAATTTTTGCTCTCACATTTTAGCACAACCAGCAAAGACATGTATCTTAATAAGCTTTCATTAAAAAGTGTTGCAGTACTTCGATTAAGGGTGATCAGTTTCGATCACACTCAAGCTCTGCTCTGATTTAGCACAATTTCAAATAGTTTCAAATATTCTTATTATTACTTCACTTTTTATAGATCAGTGTTTGTTTCCTGGTCTATGCTATACTCTCTGCAATACATGGAAACATAATTGATTCCACTGTATGTACAATTTATTTAACAAAGGAGACGTTTGCAGGAGTATCACATATTTTGATATGATCTATATAAGCTTACAGAAATCCTCCTTTTATTTCCTGTCACGCACAATTATTGTTAAGTCGCCAAGCAAATAAAGACATCCGTATGTCCTAGGTGGTGTCAAATTTGCAGTGCGCAAGGCGATAAGGTAAAGCCAGTGATTAATCTTATTTAAAAGGAGTGGAGCAGGTGAGGTTATACCATGACCTATGACACTGACGACACGCGATAAGGCTTCCAGGGCTACACTTATCGTTTGTTATCAACACGTCTCAGCGTACGTAATGAAGGTAGGGCCTGGACTTAGCTCCATAATGATGGATATTAAACAGATTCGGATGCAGCTATGTAGTTTGTGGCGTACCAGAGACCGGTGTTAGAGCATCAGAGCAAGTGGGATATCAGTTTTGTGGAAAGAGAACTCAATGGTATGGTCATAGTATCAAACGACACAAAGCATTTTTCTCTTTATAACGGGAGGGGGACGGGGAGGACCTTCGGTTGGTTAATGTTTATGACCACATGACACAATTTATGTGACCATTGCAAACTTATGACCCCACCGAGCAATTTGCCATGTTTAGAAACGTCACAATCCCAGCGCTCACCTGAGATACGGAACAGCGATAGCCAACATGATTGTGATAAGACCTCCGGCGACTATTGCTATGATGATACTGCTTTCTGGAAAATAAAAAAAGTCAACAAACAGTAGTCGGGGAAACTCGATACACTAATACCACAGCACGCGTGTACAGCCACGTGCTCAGCGATTTGGGCAAGAGATTAGAGGAATACTCTGAGAAACCGATCGGAAACTAGTAATTATGGCTTGTAAAACAGAGTGGTTGTCTGGACTTTCCAATTTTCACATCTTTTCTCTCAAGGGTGTATGTCTAAAGCAACTTTACAGTAATCACTGTCATTTATGATACTAGATTAGTCAGCTATTAAAAGTTCTCAAAAATAAAGGCTGTATAAGATGTTTTGAAATAATATTCGGGAGTTTGCCAAAATATTTTGATTTACTCTTGATGTATAATGACAAAAGTCAACCCTGGTAACGGCAGCCTGAGCGACCGTAACTATAGAATTACGGCTAGTCTGCATTTCTTAGCTCGCTCTCGCTTATTGCTTGGTAAGTTGTGTATGCTGGCTTACGAGCCCTATGCACCCACCCCAGTCCCACTCATCTGGATTCCCTGTCAACTTGTCCTTTCTTTTCCCCTGTCCCCTAGGCAATGAAAAGGTGCGAGGAACGTTGGACACACCTAGGCACTTCTGCCCCTGGTAGCCGCACTTGGGTTCCGTTGGTATTACAGTCCCGGGCCACCACACGTCCGCGCCGGGGACCTCCTCAAACACTGGCACTATACCGCTCACGTGACCCACGGCTTCAAAGCGCTGCCCCTCCTGCAAACAAGATGATCCAGATATTTTTGAAAGTTGAAGATAAAAGCATGTAGAAAAGGACTTTGTTTATAACTTCAGTTAACCTTCTGGAATGTCTGAAATAGTTCACCGCAAGTCATTACGCCCCCAGCTTATTTAAAGACCCAATACAGTGTCCTGAAACATAGTTTACTTTTTGTTGGCATCGGATTTCCAAGCTACATCAAAAAAATGTCAAATGCATGAATTGCTAAACGGTGAATCTCTACAACTTTAAAGTATAGTCGATGCAAAGTTTCAGTGTAACAGGACCTGTTTGCCAGTTTGAAAAAAAAAGTTATATCAACGAGGAGTTAGAGCGGCTTTCATTAAGGTGGAGCAAACAGTATTTCCATTTAACATTCTATCAATGTTCTCTCTAGTTGTCGGCAGACTGCATGTTCTAATCAAATGAGTGCTGTCCCCCGACTGTGTTAAGCACAAATCATAGCTTGTTTAAAAATTGGAAGTGTACGCCATACCTTCAAGTCCAGGACTGAAAAATTGGCGATCCTGTCACCAGCATTGTCCAAAACAACGTACCCGGTCATTCCTAGAAGGATAGGTTACAGAAGGTGTAACGCCAGCGTGATTATATTGCTGAGCCAATTGTTCTTTTGACACGGAAGTCATACGATGATTGAAAATAGTGCGTTAAAGGTTTGGTCTTTCAAATGTCTTTCAAACACTGAGTATACAGTGTTATGAATGGCGTCGATATAAAGGCGAAACCCCCCTGCTAAAAAGTTACCGGTAACGTCTCCCCCGACGCAAAGTACGATCTTGAAACGCCCTCGCAGCGTTGTATTTTTGGACAACATTCGGTCTCGCTATAGTCATACATGTTTACCATGCACAGGGCAGGAATTACTTAATTAAGCTTATGGTAAATGTTGGCTGTTGTGTATCAAGCTCCTGACAAAATTTGCAACAAAATCGACGGTACGTGCGTTGATTTCATTATAGCGCAAGACTCTGGAGTTGAAAATGGTCATCAGTCATTGGTGGATTCCATCAGTGACGCTTAACATTTAAAAGAAAAATCCGTTTGACAATGTTTTTCAATATCCCGGCCTGGCGCCTCCCAGATAAAGAGGGATGCGAAGAGTGTGACGTCACACAGTTTTCAAGCTCGTGGACTAAACTGATTGATAAGCTCTAATGATAACTTGTTATAAACATTTAATTGCAAATTAAGAGAACTCGTGCGGACATCCACAGTTACACACTTCACATCCCCGTTTATAAGTAAATTCAGTTCGCAAATGCAATTGCATTTAGAAGGTTGAAACCATGCATCACTAATTGATGATGGCACGGACATCTTAACAGTGGCAATGAATTACATCGTCACACTTCTTTGTTAGAACTGCCAGCGGCGGTTCTAAACAGAACGACACTCAAACTGTCATTTAAGCCAATTATCATTTCGTCTACTATCTCTCAAGATGTTTCCATTATTGAAAGAAGATTAATTCGCGTGACTAATTGAAATCGAAGTACAAATTTTGCACGTTGGAAGGGCCACAAACCTGGCAGTGTTTATAAAATGTACATTTACAAGGTGAGGAATTTTAAATGGCTACGATAGCATGAAATACACCTGATAGGGTTAAAATCGTGTTGGTTATCAACAACCCGAATAACTTGTCAATTTTCGTTACCTTACCAAAAATCATACTGAGATTTTGCGAGATATCCGACATTCTTATTTTACTGACACTTCACGAAAGCATGTAAGAGCCATGAACTCTTCAAACGAATCGTTGATTTATAGCAGTCCAAAGAAACAACCAAGTCAGAAAATAATCAAGAATCTCAGACGGAAAGTTGGTTACTGCTCCATAATGTTCTCATCACGCGACAAATAGTTTGAAATATATACCTTTAAAGAAAGCTGTTTCTGGGTCATTTTAGTTGATATTCCCCTCCCTCCCTCCCTCGGGCAAACTCGTGGGGTTCGTTACACTGCATCATATTATACGACCTACACAGAGTGTGTTTTAAGGCATTTATGACATATGAAATGTTACAACTGTGAACGCCGAAAGCTCCTCATTTTCTCCCTCTTTGCATTTAACTCTTCTTGCCCGATTTATACTCAATATCTCACCGAGGACAACTCTAGTCAATCTATGGAACCCATGCTGCTTGTCCTGTAATGCCGTTCCTCTGACTTGTGCCCTTGAGACATACGACAAACACACAGTAGATCACACTTATAATTGCATCTACACGTATTAGCGTAACATTATATTTCAGAAGTGATTTGGTTTGATTTCAAGTGATGCAGCAGATAAATACATCATCTAATGGCGGTAAAATTAGTTTGATATTGGACATCAGATAAGATATTAGAAATCTTGAAATGGATGTACAGATATCTAAAACTGTTTTTCAGATATCTGACATATCTCGAAATGAGTCAGTTCAGTGCTATGAAGGGTCATTGGGGAACGGAGCAGAATTAGCTGCAAAGCATGGCAGCTCTTATTGGGCAAATCTTGAGCACTCGTATTTGTTATTCCCGAATGACCTCGGAGCACTTCGTTTCAGTTATGCGCTATTGGTTTATGATTTGGAGATATCTCAAATTGATTTAGAAAAAAATCTTGAAATTGATTTTCAGATATCTTGGAGTCAATGACAAGATATCTCAAAAGCCTTAATCAAAGCCTTTAAGGGTCGAGAGTTGTTCAAGATAACTTGAATTAATTAGAGATATCTTTAAATAAGTGAATATATCTTGAAATAATCAAACGGGACCGCTGTGATTTGAATAAATGTCACTTATGCACGCCATATCAATCATTGCAAACAACGTACTTTCAATTTCGTCTCCAGTATTCAAAGAATTATGAAACGCCAACGCGGAGATGGGTTTCGATACCATTATGAAACGTGTAAATTTGGTAGCCCTTGTTCAAACGCATGATTAACGTGGTGAGGTCAAGTTTTATTCTTGTGAATCTGGAGCTGTGTGTGACAAGAAATTGCTCTATTCATGCAGCAGGAGAGAAAAATATGTTTCTTCTTTTTGTTGGATCTGTATTAAAAGTCTGTCTTGGTTCTAAAGACTGTTGTGATAACATTGTGTAATTAAAAGATAGTTTTAAAATAATGTGAGATAATTTTACTCCTAAACATCACTTTTAGAAGTTATGGAAAAGGTTGTTTTAAATCGGGTCAATTTTAGATAATTGTTGGAACAAAAAGAATGATATCAGTTGCTTAGTGAATAATTAACCTCAATAATGCAGCTTAAACTCCAGTGAACCTTTAACGACAAACGATCGTAAATTCTTCAGTCATATGCTGAACTAATACTATCGGGTCCTTCAGGGAAGGGAACTTGGCCAGCTCAGTTTATGATATTTGCGTTGATTTGATCATGTAATCTATTCAAGGCCGTTGCATAAGATTTCCTCGTTCTCTTCCAGCACTGTTTTTCTCATGCACTGTTTTCATTTTTCTTCCATGAATAAAAGGTTAAATCACATAGGTAGCACATTATATACTTTCTTTGACATGACTGAGAAAACAATTAACTCACGGAGCGCCACCACAAGTTCCTATTCCCATGAATGAAAATAAATAATGACCTCCTCCCAAGGGTAGGAAACCAGGCCATCAATGCATATACACGTACTTACTTCAGACATTATTTGTTTGCACACTCTTCAACCTTTTACTTGGAACTTAAAGCAAGGATCTTCCTCTTTGGTTGAAACTTTGCTTTCAACCCACCACATTCAAAAGAACACACAAGCTGTTATAGGATGATGCTTACCTTCAAATGTTACATTTGTTCGGGTGTAGTTTGCAGCAAGGTAGTCGTTAGTTTCCACGTGTTGTTTGGCGGCGTAAGCAAATAACAGCACAGCATCGTACAAAAATGCCGACATGATGCTCGGCTGGAAGTCGAAATACATGAGCAGAAGAATCGTCTTAAGATCATTTCTTGAGGAGAGAGAACACTCTGAGGAGTATAACCGAGCTATTGCACATCAGATGCACGCTGTTTTCTATTATGCAGCACGTCTGGTTTCAAGAATAGTAATTTCGACTAAACACATCCATCACAGCCTTTTTTACAATTTAACACCTTGTACGAAATCAAAAGATGTGAAGATGTAAGTACATAATATTTGTCGCAGTAGTTCAGAAGCTTCCCATAAATATCACAGGGTGTAAACATGTCTAATACTTCTCATTAGCCCCCTAAGGGTTTACAACTGCGACCTTAAATACAACTTATCACGTACAAGCGAAATTAAGTCGGCTAGAAAAATAAATCTTCCATGACGCTTCTTGGCATTGAAGTGGATAGAAGCCAATGGAATGATTGACATGCATATGGTGGCTAGACGTAAATGTTGACACGCTGAAACAATCATGAGCGTTACCGTGAACTGACATCACACTCTAAATGTTTCAAAATGGTTCATCCTCAATGTTTCACATATTTCAAGCTAATCATTACATAATTGGCATTCTCTCAGGAGATAACTTGCTGAAGTTCTGAAACTGGTAGTGAATTCTGGGCATTTGATCCTTACGGTGCACACGTGTTTATAGACTCTACCAAAGCATCACTTTTGCCTTGAAATTCCCCGTTCGCCCATTCATCATGCGTTTTCTTCTCGGGCCGTTGAAAGACGCGGCTGCAGGTTTGACCTAGGGGTCGAACTGGTTGACTAGGGCTAACCCAGGTGTTGTGATTGTTACAGGGAGTTGGACTCTACACCTCCATGTTGGGTAGACAAATTGTGATGATGGGAAAGTGATTATGGCTTCAAACCTTTGATCTCCGCGAGGCTGAGGTGGGTTTGAAGACGGAGCCATGTTGTACATATCATATAATTAAATATGAGTATGACAAAACTTAAATGTAACCCTAAACCTCTCAAACATTTTGCAACCCGTATTTAAGGAGAACTTAGCCACTGTGTTGTAAGAATGTCAACAGTACTACCAAAAAAAATCGGAAAAAAATTCAAGTTTGAGACGAAACAGAAAAATATCTCTGCATTATTATGCAACTTACCGTAGATGTGTTTATCTTTTCATAGAAATCAAGTGAAGGATCTGTCAGTGTCTCAGGAAGCAGTCGTAGAAGTTCCTCAATCCTTCCATCTTGAGGCAACCTATGATGAATTGATAAATGTTCAAAGTTTTCAACAACTATGTACTGTGCTTATTGTCCTTTCAATATTCACTTGTTCTTTTTGAAGAAAATGGAAGCAGGAATACTATCAATACTATTCATAATAAATCAATGGATATACTCCTGCTAAATCTCTCACTCTACCTCCTACACAATTTTCGACATTATGTCGACTCATGTGAAAATAATGCTGTTTTGTGTACAAACTTCGCCCCAGCGCTTCTCATGAATAAAGGCGCCTTTCCATGTGCACGTTAACACCAATGGTTAACACTTGCACCAAACCGCGTATCCGTCAAAATCGTTCCCAGGGCGATTTTGACGGCCGAACGCAACGCACATGTGTGTTGTGTTGATGGAGTCGATTTCTGCGTCCGTGAAAGTGAAACGCATAAACGCATCGCGTACGCAACTCACCCCAGCGACGCTGCGCTGAAATTCACAAACGGTGGAATGTTTTGATGTACCTGTAGGTAATGAGAATCAAAGCTTCGTACGCCTGTCTAAGGGCGTACTCGCTCGCTCCTGCGTTGTCCCTGGTGCTATTCGTGCTGACCAGGAGGGGTAACCACGGCGTGGTGTGGCCGATGTCCGGGAACAACTCCAGCCGCAGAAACACCTGCTGGCCTTGGGTCATGCCTAGCTGATCCGCCGCCAACATGAAGATCTGCTCGTCCACCTCCAGTGTCGTGACTCCGCCCATAATCAGCCAAATCACTGAAAGTCCATTTTGAATTCGGTGATGGTATATGGGTAATTCCAAAAATTAGGGTTCCAAAAGTGTGACATTTTTGTGTCCCTGTTACATCTGACCTTTGTTATTTGACATGGAAATATCGCCGGAATTGATTTCAGATATTACTACAGTGTATTTGTTTGGCAGGTAATTTGCATTGATTCATCACTCTTGGAAATTAGAAAATGTGTTCTGAATTTACAAAATCACATGTCAGATGTGACAGGGACATGAAAAAACGGACCCCTGATTTCTGGAATTACCCATTACTCATTATTCATATAATAGGCTTCATGGATTTCACATGGCTTTATAAGTTAATTCCAGCAATGACAGGCTAAGTTGAAGCGGTCTAACATCAACATCAGGTCAAAGAAGCCGTATGCGGCCAAATGATAAATGTTAATTGCACGTGATAGTTTAATAATAATGACATTTCCTACAATTATTGCATGTACTGTTTTGATCAATACTAGAAGCATTATTGGTTTGAGCTCACTGCTTGAATTCTTCCCACAGAAAGCTCCAAGCCTCGATCGGTGTCTTATGTCCTTTTTTATTCAAACGTGGGAGGGAAGTTAATTGAGGAAGCCCACGCAGTCATGTGGGAAACTGCAATCCAATCTATCGAGTTTACATAGCGGGATTTGAACCCGGGCCACATGGGGCAACAGGTGGGAGAACAGCTGTCATAAGTCCACCCACTTAACCACACACGGTTACAAATTTTGTTTGAAATTTTATCCTTACCTAAAAACTAATTGAAGAAATAATAACATCTGGAAAAATATCCTTATATACTTTAAAACTATCACGTAACTCTTCCTGTTCTTAGTTGGAAAATCTCTTCTTATCACATTTTATTACATTTATCACATTTTATTATTTTTACAGTTTGCATGTGACATTTTACAAACTTCGTAATTTTATCAACTGTCCAAAGCTTATCCGTGAAATTTCATGAATGGTTTTGTAATACATGAAATTTTGTAGTGTATTTTATACGTTGTTTCTGTTCTACTATTGATTTTCAAAACCGCAACTAAGGTACACGTGTGTTCTTATTTTTTTAAGGATGAAAGTATTTAAAATGTGCAGGTACAAAGGAAACACTTCCATAACAATGAAAATCGTTACAGATACAATGCAAAGGCTTAACAAGACCCAAACTTTTATTTTTGAGAACCTATTTTATGTTTAAAGTGTGAAATCCCACACTGACCAAGTGAAAGTATAGATATCGGTTCGATCTCATCTCCAATATTCAACGGTAACTGTAGTATTTTCTTTCTACGTGCTGATTACTTCTATATTGACGACTCACCGTGTGATACATTTTTCACTTTCTGCAATATCGTCGCGGCATTGTGAACATCGAGAGGCTCTTTATAACTTTGGAGATTGGAGATTGTTACGCCAGTATTTATCATTGTAGCCAAGATTGTCTCTGCCAGGGAGTTCCAGGGTGAGATGTCTGCATAGACGACTGACGCAGACGTCCAGCCATACTGCGCCATCACGGCACCCGGTAGCGAGCTGATGGCCGAGAAGGGAACAAATGTTCTAGCGAAGGACTCGTAGGTGTCACCGGCCTCTGTGGCCGGGGTGTGGGGGCAGAACCACGATATGAACGGAATATTCCAGTAGGCGGCTAAGTCCCTGACGCTTCGGCAGGGTTCGGAGCACGGCAGCCCGATGAAGGCATGCACGCCGTTGAACAAGTGCAGATCTACGGCTGAGCCGCTGGCTCGCCGGGTGTCGCACTTGGTGTCCCGGTACTCAAAGTTCAGGGTGTTGTTCCCGAGGATCCCTTCGTTCCGGACGTGCTCAAGGGCTAGAGGGACCGCCCCGGCGGTGCGCCACCCTAAGAGGGGGTACACGTACGACCCAGGGGCGTCCCACGGGCCAAGAATGCCGATTGTAACTTCAAAGGCGCGGACTGTAGGGAACTGTGACATTACAACGACGTACAAGACAAAACAGGGGACGTATAGACGCCGTGGCCCCGTGGGAAACACAGGCATTGTGTTGAGGACTTCATGAGTAAAGACCATGGACTTCAAGACGAATATCCAGTCGTAAATGATGTGGACTCACCATAAAGACTCTATCATCACATCCTGTCTATCATCCGCCGCAACAGCACAAAGTGTGTTTTAACTAGTGTTGGCCGGCCAAGCGTTGCTCATATGCCACAACATCAGATCTGCCCAGTTACAGCGCCCTACAATCACGCAACTCATGAGCGATGATAGGGCAAGGACTGATGAGAAACCGAAGATCACCATGGATCATAAAAATCCCTTTATCACAAGAGATAACACCGGGTGCTGCGAAATGATCCTGATAGTGAGCAGCCATAGTTGCTGATATATTTGTTCAGAAGACACGGAGGTATCGCGTCATCGTCACATATTATACATTTTTACGATAGCTGGATGGTTGACATGGTAAACTTAATCAAACAATGCAAGAACATTGTTTAAAAAGACGAAATCATGATTCTCCGGCACCTGCATTGTAAAAGTTTAGCTCAGTCTCTTCGCTCAGCGTCATAGCAAATTGAGTTTAAATCAATCCGCAATCCACCTCGAGAAGACATCTTTTTCAAAAGAAAGCCTTTTCGCTAAGATACAGGCCTCGCGGAATTTTTGGATGTTATTCAATGCAGTTTACTGTTGAGTGCACACGGCGACTCGAGCGTCATTCACAGGCAGAAGACGGCATCGCGCAGAACTTGGTCATTTTTCTCATGCACGAGATCCCTGCTGGTCCCATGGACGTAGGTTCGCGGTTTTCCATGCTTATGGCAACGTGACACGACAGTCATGGGATTAATGGCACCTTCCTAGCAACGGTCCGCAGCGCTGATTCAAGGTGTATGTTGCGGCGCCCGAAGCTTCGTGTACGTACGTACAACGTAGGCGGCCCTTGCGTCTACAGGACTGCGATTGCTTGTCCACAATTACATATGCCTCGTGCTTGGAAACAGCCAGTGCTGCTTTTACCTTCGTGCAAGCTGCGCATGCGTCTCTTGGTTTTTCGGCCGTACCTCATTTCTTCACGCATCGGCATCTGGCAAGCCCAGTTCGCCACACCGGCATCTTCCTCTCTTTAACCATTTCTAGTGTCTCAAACGAACCGTCCGTTGTCCATTAATCATCTTGTACACGTGTCGATTGTCCGGACTTGCTATAAATGTCACGTCTGCACAACTTCCCCAAGCAGGTTACTATTACAGGGCAAGAATACAGAGCTATAACGTGTTACAGATTTTTAAGACATCTCCAAAACAAAACACAGCATAATGTAAATGGAAATACCAGGCTAGTATTTTATCCATTCATGTATACATATAATAAGGGGGTTCGTATTAACCAAACATGCACAGCCACGAAAATCACATCAAACGGTTTAGATCCCCAGGCTGAGTGCTCGTAGGCTTTATCGACCCTGATACCATATGCATCGATGTCGGGCAACATTTGGATAGAATGTGAGCTTGCCTTTACTACAGGTGTTACTTTCTGTAGCACAACGTCCTCATTTTCAAAAGTGGGCTAAATAATTCTAAATGCACGAATCGCAATGCTGAAGGCCAGAAAGGCCAACATCACATCCTGGCTCTGTGAGTATGCAAAGATAAATTGAGTGATCACCGCACGGAGGAATAAAAAGTACATCACAGTAACGAGTTTCGGAGACAGTTTCCAGGTGTGTGGTCACGTTTCGGGCTTGGGACCTTTTCGGGTTTTCTTAATTAAAGAACGTGACACGTCTACTTTGCCACGAGCTCGGGATATTTTAAAAGCTGGGGAAGTTGTTTCTCAGGGGAACGGTGGAATTCTGTTTTTAGACTTAAGCCTATCGATTTACTAAACAAGCGACTTCGACCCACAAACGGCTACAGATGGGATGGAAGACCTAATTAAGCCACTCCATGACGCGCCAGGACTATTGGTCATTATGTCATCTGGCTTGACGCAAACACTCGTTTAACGGACGGCACACGAGTTGTTCTACCCCGACATAATGGCGGCCGATGCGGCCTCGGGTCTCCCGGAAATTACTGTTGGCTCTGGACTTGAAGGCTTGTGGACTAAAACAATGATAGGTCCAAGACGAACAAAATGAAAGCTTTAATTGAAACCCTGTCTGCTATAGGTTTATAATTAGATACAAAAAATATTAGTCATTCCTACAGTATCAGTCAGCACTTCGTCGCAAATTTAAGGCGGGGAACACGACCTCAATTTGGACCAACACGCGTCCGGGTCTTCTGGAGATCTTCAAACAGCGGAAGAATTTTTGAAAGAGTTTAATAACCAATTAGTTTTTTCTGAAAGAACTGTTGAACAGAGAGGTGTTTATGCTCCATGTTAGAGTCACGCTAAGGAAATGTTTTTTGAAAACGGTTTTGGCCATCAGACAGAAATGGGTGATTCCTGTGGCAAATCTGACTGCTCCGCCTTCATGTACTTCCAGCTATACTTTCAATTTTATATTATATTTGATGGGTTAGGTTTTTATCTTGGCAGCGACACATCTCTGTGGGAAAAGGCGCTCCAGCGTGTCATACCCTTTGATGGGCGGGGGAATGTTAAACCACGGAGGAATAATAAATCACCTGTATAGATTTAGATAAACCCCTGGCTGTACTCGAGCTCTGCAAACGCCTTCCCAACCTGTCATCCACAGACCAGCATGAAAGGAAATACGATCCTCCAGTCCCATTAACTGTCTAACCGGACAGCTACTTACTATGATCCAGTCTAAGCTTGATTACATACCATCGGGTCACTCAAGCAGAACACTTTCAGTAATGCAGTAAACAGCCTTTACCATCTCTTCCAGTCTCGTGCCTGTGCGTTGTACATCACTGCCGTTCTTCATTTACTGTAATCCATGGCCCTTCATCAGTAGACGGAAGTATATCTACGACTGGTCAAAGACCCACAACATTCTGATGAAAGCATACTGAGGGATTTACATGCAGAAATCGTGGCAGCATGACGTGCATTACCCTTTTGAAAATCTTTGTCCTAATGGCTTTTCTGGAGTCCATTTTGGCCCAAGGCCAGCCGCCATATCAGCCCAACTGGCAATCTATCGATTCTAGACCTCTGCCTGGCTGGTACGATGACTCGAAGTTTGGCATCTTCATGCACTGGGGTGTTTACTCTGTGCCTAGTTACGGATCAGAGTGGTTTTGGCGTTACTGGGCCTCCAACGTAAAGAGCTACGTGGATTTCATGAAGCAGAACTACCCTCCGGACTTTACTTATGCGGATTTCGCCAAGGAGTTCCGGACGGAGCTTTTCAACGCCAGCCACTTCGCAGAGATCGTGGAAGCGTCCGGAGCCAGGTACTATGTCCTGACGACTAAACACCATGAGGGATACACAATGTGGCCGTCCAGGTATTCCTGGAATTGGAACGCCATGGATGTAGGGCCGAAACGAGATCTGGTCGGCGAGATAGCTACAGCCATCCGGACTCTCAAGACAAAAGTATATTTTGGATTGTATCACTCCCTCTTTGCCTGGTACCATCCACTTTATCTCCAAGACGAGGCCAATAACTTCCAGACAAGGCTCTACCCACAGCAGATTTCAACCCCGATGCTTCACGAGCTGGTTGAGAATTATCACCCTGAAATCATTTGGTCAGATGGCTTCGAAAAGACAACAGGGCCCGAGTATTGGAACAGCACAGGTTTCCTAGCCTGGTTGTACAATAGTAGCCCGGTGAGAGACATAGTGGTCGTAAACGATCGCTGGGGGGAGGGGACAGTGTGTCACCACGGTGGGTACTACACCTGTCATGACAGGTACAATCCAGGTACCTTGCAGAACCACAAGTGGGAGAACGCCATGACGGTAGACAAGCACTCTTGGGGTTACCGCAGAAATGTCAAGCTAGCTGACTACCTTGATGCCGAGGAGCTGATCGCATCACTGGCTAAGACCGTCAGCTGTGGGGGTAATATGCTACTAAACATTGGTCCCACCCATGACGGGCGTATCGTCCCTATCTTTGAGGAGCGCCTACGGCAGATCGGGGCATGGCTGAAAGTCAACGGGGAGGCTATCTATGGGTCACACCCTTGGAAGGCTCAGAATGACACTAAGACTCAAAACATTTGGTACACCTCCCAGATGAATGGTACAACTGTGGAAGCCGTGTATGCCATCATCCTAAAATGGCCTACCAACAACCACGTGTTCCTTGGTGCACCGATTTCCAGCAAGCTTACTACAGTATCTATGCTAGGTGTCGAGCCCCCACTCAAATGGGAGATGGGGCCGAAGGGAGTTGGAATGAACGTTACCATGCCAACACTGAATCCAGTACAGATACCATGCCAATGGGCATGGGTTCTCAAATTGTGTAACATTCTGTGAACATCTAAACAGAATCAAAACTACCTCAGAGAGTGATTGAATTGTACATAAAAAATACACGTGGATTAGCATAGTACATGTACACCAGACAAAGTTCCACAGAAAGTTCAATTCAGAGTTTCCATTTATTACATTCAAATTGTGTGAGTAAATACATGTATTCTTAGTTAAACTGTGCCTTGGACATCATCTTGGATACCTCTATCACTGCCAAATAAACCCTTTACAGTTTCTCCAAGCACCTGATTGGATCCTTACAAACCTGATGACAGTAAAGCCTTTAGAGGGAATCCAACAGCTACATCAGCTGGTCTTACTCTTTAGATTTACATAATCCTACAGTCACATCAATTGTTGGAGTGTAGTCGACTTTGTCAGAACTTGTTTGGTTTTGTTGTATTTGACAATTAAGGGATAAGTCGCAATACCGAATGTGAACATTTAGAGAGATGCAACAAACTACATGTTTCAACAAAAGAAAATTTTTCTGAGGCTATTAAATCTATGTCCCCGTGGAAACAAAACTAATACACTTCAAAACTTGTGTAATGAAACAGTGGTGCATGTTATGACGCCTGTGGCAAAATGATATCATCAATGACTGACATCTTTCAAACTGAAGTCTAAGTCTTCAGCCAATTCACTTGCATGGCTAATTTCAAGTCAGCAAACGCAATTTGCTGAGAGGCTGTTGTTTGTTTTAAAAAATGACGTCATTTTGAAAAATACAGCATAAATGACTACATATACATGTTCATCTGTCTAGCAACTGCCCCTTATGCAGCTCATCTTGTCATTGCCGGTCTTCGACCATGATCATTGGACTTCATGAACATCACAGCTTTTGGACAGTGAGGTAAAACAATCCTGTCAGGTGTTGCTAAGTCATCATCACAAGTTTTCCACCACATACAGATGAAATGTACACTCAAGTGCTGGTGTCTGGTCTGTTTGAAGAGTCCACGACTTTTATTGAGCACACAGCCTTTAAGATCTATACACTGATGCAATATTCTTTGGTTGTTTCCGAGTGCAAAACAAGTTTTACACCGTCAAAAACAATGTTACTTGTCTGGGATTTCGTCTTGAGGTTGAGGCTCCTCGTGTGTCTGGGGCTCAACAAGGTTGGAGGGTTCTTTCATTGCAATCTCCACATTGCCTGTGTACCTGATATCAAACAGGTTAGGATCCTTGAGGAAAATAGTCTCCCTGTACATGTAGGGCATAAAACCTGTTCAAATAAAGAAAAATATGTCGTATAACACACATGAACTAACGCCCGCTATGGTTTACGGTTTTGTCCGTCAGTGTAACAATGTCAATATTTGTGCAAACCATTCAGTCCAGTGTAATCACATTTTTTTAGGAAACCTTTGCTGCTGCAGTGGTTGGATTTTCTGCTCGGACTCTACAGTGAGAATACGTGATACACTTTGCACAGACCAGGGGGACTAGGGGTAGATATCATGACTGAGACCTTCAACAGTCTCACATAGGTACATACCCATTTTTCTGGCCCGCTTGATGGCCTTTGTGACGCGCCTCTGTTGGTAGCTGCAGAGCTTGGTGATGTAACGACCGTAGATCCTTCCGGTGTTGGGGGACACAAACTGGGACAATAGCTGCACATTCTGGGAGAGGGGAGAGGACAATTTTAGGAGGTAATAATTGGATAATGGTCAAGACATCATTCACAAAACCATCAGTGGTTCTGTCAATGGTTGGTAAATAAATTAAGCACAAAAGTACAAACGCATTAACCATGGGCTTTGTGTCAATGTGGGTCCTTCTGTCAAAATACAAAAAGTGCTGCTGTAAAGGCACTTGATTTTTACATTTTGTATAAATCCACATTGAAACTATAAAGAACTCTACTACAATCAATTAGCAAGCACAGCAATTCTTACCTTGTAGGAGACTGGTACTTTGCTCTTGCATAGAATACATGGCTCCACTGGCTCTTTAAATGGATCTTCAATACTTGGCTGAGGCTTAAAGGAAGAAACAGAAAGGATTAAAACTTAAATTTGCTTTCACAATGTGAGCATCAATAAGTTCTCTCAGCAGCTGGACTAACTAAAACCAAACTCTGTATGGACTCCTGAAACCAAAAAGGTAACAAGATATTCGGAATATATGTATAAAATTTGATTGACACATTACCACCATTCTAAAATACATTCTTCATAGATTTTAAGGGCTCCTGCTGGTTAATTTTAACAAACAGCCAATGTTTCAGATAAATATGCATGTTGAAAGCTGCTGCTTATTTTTATTCAGTTAGAAAGTTTTTTCTCACCAATTACTAATGAGTAAAGCAAGTTTTTAAAAACGCCATTTAGATATCTGGCTGCTAGATCCCTGATTTCATGTACAACTTGAGCAGCTCAATTGCAGCATATCCCGTGACCCTGCATGATGCACCTCATTGCTGGCTGCGGGGTCAAAATATTGCACTTCTCCTGGGGATTTCCACCTCTCACTTATGTAACCATTGATTTCAGGGGTGTATTTTCAAGTGGTTAGGTTTTCTGCAAGTACTCCACTTGAACTACTTACATGGTCAGGACTTTGCTCTTGGTGCTGTTCTCCCTCTTGAGCATTAAGATCAGTTTGGAATTTTCTTGATGGTAATGTTATAGTTGGGGCAATACCCAGATGACTGGTGTTATTTGTGTTTAATACAGAAGCTGTGAAGAAGAAAAGGATAAATGAGAAGTTGAACCAACAGCAATCTTCAGATAGTCAGTAGGCCTTGGCCTACTGGAATTGTTTCTGTTCAAGAACATGAAAAAGAAACAAATGTACTCCCACAACTGTCTGTTTGTGTGGGCAAGGAACTCCACAGTTAGCAAGTAAGTTAATTCTGGGGGGCACAGTGAAGTCATGTTGGTAGGCCTAGGCCTAAATAAACTTTTTTGATGTTCACAATGCATTATGGGGCTTGGATGACAAACAAGCCATGCATTTTATGCACAAACCTGGAGGAAGTGAACCAATAAGAAATCAATTGTGCAATTTTCTTAGCATATTTTTAAAAAATCTGCTCATCACCTCACAGATGCATGCATAGTATACAAGAAAGATTTTCAATGCAACAAACAATTTTCCATTGTTTATACGAAGAAAAATCATCCTTGTCATTAAAAAGGCACAAGTCATTCTAGGCTGATGATAATGTGATAAGTCAATGTGGGATGAAAGGCTTTCGAGGCAACTCGTACCTTGGGCGACTAGTACCTCGGATGACTCGTACCTCTTGTGAGTACAAGTCGTGATTTTGATTGGCCAATTCGTAGGGCATTAATATTCATGATCTTAGTCAAAGCACAGTCAATGACAAAAACTTGTGTTGTTTGCCTTGGAAGGGATTCCCAAATTTTTCTTTTCTGCCATGCTTTAAACTTTGAAGATTGTCATGATTGTGAATATCTTCATCCCAAATCTAGTACAACACTCTGAGAGAAGAGGATGGCTTGAACTGGGGTATGAAAAAAAAGGAGACAGATTAACGATTTTCAGGTACACTTCATCCACACGGTTGTGCATAAAGTGTGTTGCTTGTTTGTCTTCCAAAATGTCCAAACTATAATGCATTGTGATTGTCGAAAGGACTTTTGAGTATAAAGTTGTCGTTCATGTCGTCAGGTCGTTAGGCTAAATAAAAATGTTGGACAGTAACATGGCAGAGAGGAAGAGAATAAAATTAAGACAAATGCTGCTACCTGAAATACTTCTTAATGACCACTGAGAGTAATTTTTTGACAAGAAAGCACCGCAACTCCTTTTAAGGAACGTCAACATGTTAACTTTTTCGCACAGAGCACGAATTTGATGATGCTTCATGAGAGCCGCCATCTTGAAATCAAGTCACATGAGGGCGCTCTGTAATTTTTATTGTGTAAACTTGTATATATCGCCCTCTACTCTTGGTTGACGGATTTATACATGTCATACATAATTTTCTCAACTGGCGGGTGATCAAAATTCGTCCAGTTTGTTGTCATTAGTTACCAGTAAGTTTGCCTCGTTTTATTCAGCAGTTCGTAATGTTCACTGATGAAGTGCTCGACGGAGAGGAGTTTAAGTCGTCATGGAAACGAGAGAGGTATTTTTTGTATGATGGAGCCTTTTTTTGGAGGTAGAACTAAAACTGGGCCCTGGGCGCCGGGCCTAGTCTTGTTAATCACACAACTTCTGACCCAGCAGTGACCGGTATAAAATCCTTGGGAGAGGGGGATCAGTGAGTGTGGAAAGTGTGAAAGATCTGCGAAAGGGTTCCATATGCGGACGCCACTTGACTACCCGTGCATAAACCCAGTATAAGACTGTTCAAAAAACTCTGTTTTCTAAGTAAACGACTCTATGCTCTAACTTGTCTAAGTAAGACGTAAATAGTTGGTGGGATGTGTTAGAAGATGACATGTTGCTGACTGAATGATACAGACTCAGTGTTCTGAATCAAACTTTGCTGGACATGTTTTTGCTCGTACTTCTACTATCAGACCTAAGTTAAGTGGCTGTAGGGAATATTACTGTCATATATGGAGCCGTATATGGAGCTCTTTCCAAGATCTGCTTAGGAGAGACATGATATGATGTAGGACCTATGACCTAGCACTTAATAGGCCTACAGTAAAGCCCATTTTCCTGTCATTTTTTTTCAGAAATTAAAACCATTGGCCCCAAACTAGTAAAAGAACAGAAAACTAAGTACGTCATAGGTCATTTAGGTTAAGTTTGTCAGCTCAACTTCCTGCCGACATACTTGCCATGTACCTAATTGTAGGCCTTGGCCTACTAACACTAACAGTTTTCAGTTAGGTCAAACATTGGTGCTTCTTTGCTTGATTTTTTCATTGGTCTCTTCATCAGATCAACCAAGTCAAGTGGCTCGCAGACAAGTGAAATACTGACCGGTGAATCAGATGCACAAACGTCATATAAATCCAATGCAAAGGTAATTCCAGACAGTGGTATTCATAAAATTGTGAATTGTCAATGGACAACTCGATTGAGTCATCATATATATCCACCGTTAACATATATCTGCTAGTGTAAGTGTTTAAGTGTTTATCTCAAGGACACAAGCAGAGTGATTCCCAGAGACTTGTCCTCATAGGCACAGCCCTCAGAAATTTAAGATTAAACTGGCTGCTGTACACCCCTACAATTCCAACTACTTTGGTTATATTGTCAAGGTTTATTTAGTATTTTCCTATGGAATGCCCATGAACATGTTTTTTTGACAGGTTCAGACAGACCCCATCAAGGAGAAGAAGTTTGAACTTGCTGCAGATAACTCACAGGTTTGTTCATCACTTTTCTTCTCCAATTTCTTTCTTGTGATATTGACTTTCATCAAATTTCTGTGTGAATTTTATGAAACAATGTTGAATTATATGTGACATTTAAATTATTGGAAAGCGTTCCATTATATATGGATGCCGCTTGACACCCTATGCACAGACCCCTTGAGACTGGTCTGAATAATTCTAAGTGCTTTCTACATGAATACTGCATTATTTTCCCTGCTAAATTTGACTTTTGAGGTCGCGTTGTTGCTTTTAGGTCACGGTGGCTTCTAGGTAACTGTAGGGAAACATTACTGGCGTCTGTATATGGAATTCATTCCAAATTATTTCTTTGAGTGGATGTTTTGTTGATTAGGAGGCCTCCATTTTTAACTGATGCACAAAACTCACAGGTGGGATTCGAACCTGCATACCAAAAGTGGTTTAACCCTAACCCTCCTCAATCCTTCACCTGTTGGAGGACTGAGGAGTGTTAGGGTTAAAGTACCCTTGAGCCTGCCTAACAGTTGCTGGTTTTACATCCGTCATTTGTTTTTCTGCTGGTCTTTTGCCAACCTTTAATGCAGGCTTTTCAAGACTTTATAGCGAGAGTGACGCCAGATATCTGCCATGTGTTAGAGCGGAACGCCCGCAGTCATGCCTTCGATGGTGGGTCTGAAGTTCCCGTTTCTGTATAATATGGTTCAGTTAGTGAAAACACTACTTGAATTCATTAATGAGTGAGGAAATTTATGCCCCATTAGGCATTGTTGTTTATTTCATATTGGTCCTTGAGATATTTTTCAGCATTGTAATGAAACCTTTTTTCATTCGGAATCCCTTTCAGGTTGGGATGTGAATTGGGAAGAGGACACAGAAGCCGTCACCTGCCAGTATAAGCTATGCCACGCCCCTTTGAGGGGAGAGCTACAGTGCACACGCGTAGCATGGAACTGCACCGGTTCCTCACTTGCTGTAGCCTATGGACGCATGGACCATCAAGACTGGTGTACGCACAGAGTAAGCACAGACAGACTGATTTTAGTTTTGAAAAAAATTGTTCTGATCGGTACACTGATGTCAGTATGTGCCTCTATAGATTACCCACTGTTCATTTTGAGGATAATGAATACCCTGGTTAGTGTGATTTATTCAAACGTGATCTCAGCATTATACGTGTGCTGACTGAGTGTCAGGTCTTGTTTCATTAATATCTGGCGTATACCCTGATTGATAAAGAGATCCTAACAATTCTTGTTGATAGTTTTAAACTTTGTTTGTTGAAATATTTATGTGCATTGTCTGGAATCGTTTACAGGGGTCATTGTGCATTTGGAATATAGACTTAAAATCGATTGACAGAGAAAAGGCCGATACAGTTGTGGATGTCAATGTAAGTTGGTAATCTTCCTCGCTTGGTAATTTTCTTCAGATTTAGGGTGATTAGAGAGGAGAAATATCTACTTGGCCCTTCCCATGAAATATGAATGATAAATCTAACAACTCTTGGTAAAGTTTAGAAAGCATTTGCAATAAAGCATGCAGTATGTTTGTGATATAATTGTGTTTTTAGGATTTACAAAGAGAGGACTCACGAATAAAATGTTAACCCTGGAAGAGATAGCAAGTAGCTTTGTACCTTGTAAGTATTCATTGGAGATTAATGTCCAATTTGTTGGTTTGTTAATGGACAGAGTTGCTTGATGTGCTTGGCGTATCATCCTGAGAAACCATCCGCAATTGTAGGTGGGAACTTCAATGGTAAGGGTTTTTTTGGTAGAGATTTTGTGATATTTGCTTCCTTTCAGTTCTGTTTACTTATTTTCTTGAAGTCTTCGGCAGTCTTCATTATCCACCAAGCATGCTTTGATAAAACAAAATATGTGATCTTTTTAGGAGAAGTATTGTTATGGGATCTGACAAGGGAAGATGACGGTCTCCTGGCAACATCTGGCATCGGAGATGACTCACATCGAGAGCCAGTCTCAGAGGTCATGTGGCTCCAAGATCCTAAAAGATCAAACAAATATAATGTGAGTTGGTTCAACTGTTTGTCATTGAGACTTTAAACTTCACTTTGCTGTTGAAAATTTCATGTTGGGGTGAACTGTCAGCTAATGTTAAATTTGAAATTTGTTCAGCACTTCATATGAACTTGACTGTTCCCTAGAATTATCTTGTGGTATCAACTTGATTCCACAAGTGAAAAAATGGAGAAAGATGGGTCCCCAAATTAAAAAAAAAAGGCCAAACAAAGATCTTTGAGTTGTTAATCAAACTAATACTTCATTGATGGAATAATCAGATTGTGAGTGTCAGCAGCGATGGGCAGGTATTGGTGTGGAAGGTCAACGCGAGAAAAGGAGCCCTGGAACTGGTAGAGGGATTCCTGCTATTGGCCAGCAGTCTACCAGCCATGCTCGGCCAACCCAAGGCCAAAGGGGAAGGAGAGATGGGCGGTGAGTCTCTGAGATCATCCTTTATGTTTCTGGTGACTCTTGTGTCTGTGTTAAAGGCAAATGGTAAAGTTCAATATTGGGAAATCATTCTGGTCTTGCTTGTACCTGTTCTCCACCCTGTCTCTAATCTCATCAAATGATGTCTGTTTACCTTGAGGTTTTTTCTTTCATTTCAGTGAACTGTATCTCCTATGTCTCGGAAGACAAAAGCCAGTATATGATTGGTTCGGAGTCGGGTGGAGTCTTCAAGTGTTCCATGAATTCCACAGTTCCGGTGCCAACAAGTAGTGTTCATCACTCCATTTATTTTTTTATCAAAGACAAATTTGTTTAAAAACCACCCGAGGAAAAAAAGCTTCCATCTTGGTATCAAGTGAGATATTCATTTAGCTCAGCTAAGAAGCTGAGAGATCCGTTTTGAGCTACACCCATAATCTTTACACAAAAAATTCTCAGCTGTTATTGAGACATTTGCACATTTATTGAGAGGTATAATCAAATGCTGCCCATCAAGTTTTGGATGCAGATAAACTATTTTAGGAAATTATCTACACCAGCAATGTTTCTTGCGACACTCATTGATATTAATATTCTGTTGTCCTTTTCAGCCGAGGTGCTGCGTAGTGTACCTCTCCACAATCCCGTTGTCTTTGCCTTCCACCCCCACCATGGCCCAGTCCACTCCATCGATTGCTCCCCCTACCACCGTAACCTCTTTCTGACCTGTGGAATGGATGCAGAAGCTCGCATTTACAGCATGCTAGAGGTAATCAGATTATGTTCAAAGATTTTAAAGAGATTTTTGTAAAGATCAGTTTATTCATATTTGCACCAAGAAGGACTTGTAAACCACTGTCATGGCAAAACAGAATTCCTGATCACTACAAATGAAATTTGTTGCTAGTGGAAAGAAATAATTCAATCTCATTTTTTTGTCCAACAGTCAAGGAGTATCATCTCTCTTGAGCCATCAGCAGGATACCTTTTCTGCGCCCGTTGGTCCCCAATACGCCCTCTTGTACTTGCGGTGGCCTCTAGTGAGGGCAAGCTCCTCATCTATGATCTGAAGACGAGTCGCATCAATCCAGTGCAAACACTTGAGGCAAGCCCCAAGAAGAGTGCTTTGCACACCCTGGAGTTCAACAAGAAGTAAACATGTTTTTTATTTTTGTTCTAGGAAGAAAACGGGAGGGGTTGAAAGAACATTTGGACAGGCTACTCATTTCTCAAAATTCTCCACTGAAAATCAGCTGGAATTTTCTTTTGTTCGCTCCGGGAGCATCAAGCCCCAAGTACAATAATAGTGGCTTGGCTCTACCTTTCTGTGCTGTGATTTTGAAGGAATCGGAACGG